AATGTCAAAACAAAAAAAAGTCAAAAGTCTCATGTACAGTGGCACAGGGCTGCAAATATCATGCAAATGCATGACACAAAATTTGACTAACACACAAAAACACAGACAAAAGGACAGCGATGCAAAGAAGATATGCTGTAATCACAGAAAATAGAGTGAAAACATGCAGCAAACACATGATGCTGGTGCAGGAAACACATGCTAAGGAAAATTACTGTAATTTATACCAATTTGAATCTGAATTTTTTGTTTGTGTGACAAGTTTCAAGTTATCTCCATACCAACAACTTTGATTATGAAAGCTGTGGGCTTTTCATGCATGAGGCCCTCAAAAGGAAATGATCACACAGCCCACTGAAAATGAGTTTTAATGGCAGAACTCCTAGGATTTACAATAAACACATTGAACAGGAAAAATCTGATGGTTAATAAAGCTCTTAGAAGCACTTTATGAAAAATTGTAATACTATTTTCCGTGTTAATGCACTTTTGGCTATTCAGTCTCCTAAAAGCATAAAGCTGTTAATCAGCTACGGTTTCAACATATCATCAGTTAAGGGCTTCATTAGTCTGTATTTGGTGTGCTGAAGATGCCAACAATGTTTTGTTGCTGACATATGGCTCTCATCAACACCAGAAGCACCGATGTTGTGAATGATAGAATGCAAACAAAAATGCGCTGTTATATTTTAAAATTACTGCCCGTGGCTTACTGGGAAGAAAGCTGACATAAAAGCCAACAAATACAGGCATCACCAGGTGTATGAAATATTCCTTGCTTAGGCCCAGCTGTGCTTCACCAAACATAAACACACTTTGTTTTGGTCTATGTATTGAACCTACTTTAGATTACTGAGGCAATAGCTGCCAATAGAAAGAGGAAAAAGAGCAAAGGCATGCAGCCAGAGATTTGATGACCTCCTTCTTATATGGTATCCACCCTACTACAACACATTCAACCTGTTTTAATGTGTGTAAAACAATTTAAACAAAGGATGTGTTCCATCCATCCATCTTCCTCTGCTTATCCGGGGTCGGGTCGCGGGGGCAGCAGCATGTGTTCCAAAATCAAATATCTTTTTTCCTGTTTTACAAAAAGGAAAAAAAAAACATCTTTATGCATTTGTTTTTATTTTATGTTGTTAATGTATTTCATTGGTTTAAAGATGTGATTTTACTGCTTGAAATGCGTTTGTGACAATGCCATGTTAGTTTAACTCTAACAGACTGAGCTAACATATTTTATAAGTTATTCACATTTATTAACTATATTAAGAGCCAGTAGCACCATGAGCACTACAGTGTAATTAGTTAACATCAACACTTTGTCAACAATGTTTTCTTTTTCTATATAAATAATAGAATAGTGCAACAAAGCAAAAATCCTACAAGTCTTTGGATAAAGCATGCATTTTGACTGTTGATTGTATTCGTTAAAGTTGGCTAACTAATGTCTCCTTTCAGCATCAGTGTTGTTGCTGCTGTCTGAACTTAACTGATGCCACTAATCTCCAAAAAGCACATAAATTTCTACGAGTAAATAAGTTGCTTTCAATGGTGAAGCTACAGAGAACAGAGGACAACCACAGATTGAACTGCGCCTTCACCCAAATGCTCACAGCTCAATCCGCCAAAATAATTGTTAATGCTACTGCATGGTCTGTCTGCACACTTCTTAACTAAGATTAAAGCATTTCTTACATTTCAGCTGAGAATTATGGATTTGGAAACTGTAACAGTGTGCAGATTTGTCTTTTTTTTTACATGCAATAGTTTAAAGGTTTTATAGTTTTCTTTTCAAAATCAGCCTAAATGAGGCTGCTTATTATTTGTTTTATTAATTACTCATTAATATGAGTTTATTCACTTTAGTATTAGATCAGTTTTGTACTAAAATGTGAGAGAGATGCATTAATGCACTTTGTAAGGTTTGTTCTGATTGTTTTCTTAATAAACCAATGGACTTTTTTTTTTCTGCAAAGATGTCCCTTTCCAATTTTACATTTTGCAAAGCTCCCTAATTAAATCTTATAATTTTTATCTTTATCAACCAACAAATAAGCATGTTATGTTTTAATATATCACCTCATCATTTTAAAATTCAAAGATGGTGAAGGAAGAACCGACCTTGAGCTCCTGTAGACTCCACCTTTAGATAATGGAAAGGAAACATTGGCATTCAAAAACTTCTCAACAACTAAAAATGTCCGCATAAGAAACAATCAGCATGAGAGTTTAGAGTGAAGACTTTTAAAGCGAGGTGTTTTTTTTTATCACCTTTTAGACAAAGTCTACTAAAATCCTATTAGTTCACTTATTACCCAAAGCTATGAAGCAAAGTCAGAACTTTTGATCTACATAAACAATGTTTAATGTCACATAAAAATAAACAGTTTTTCCCCACAATGAATGAATGCCTCATTCTGTGGAGATGCCCAGCGGGACAGAGAGGCAGGTCAGGTTTGATAAGATGATAGATGGAAAAAAAACACAGAAAAATCCTGCAAGAAAAACTATTAGAAGTTGCAAAGACTTTAGATTGGGACAGAAATTCTCCCTTCAGGACAACAACTCAAAACACACATCCAGGGAATGAATGGAGCAATTTAGATTAAAAAAAAAGTACATTCATGTGTTAAAATGGCAGAATTAACGTTCAGACTGAGATGACGGTTTTTAAATAGTTTATGAAATTATCTGACTAGATTTCCTCAAATGCCTAAAAGTCCCACAGCTTAAAGGAAGAAACACCTTTTAATTAAAGGAAGTTCTCCTGATTATGTACTTCATTCTTACCAGTTGTTTGATGGGTGTTAACTCATTAGTAGTGTCTTAAAACTTGATGAGGATTTTTTTTTTCTAACTGGTAAATAATTATGTTATTACTTTTAAGTTTTTTTTAGTTTTTTTTTGCAAGACAAGAAACATAGCTTTGCTGGTTTGTTTGTGTGAATCAGAAGAATCTGAATCAGAAAACGTTTTATTGCTAAGAAGTACTTTTCACTTAAGCTGAGTTTGCTAGGTTGATAAAGTGCTACATATAAACAAACAGCTGACATAAAATAAACCCTAAATCTAAATATAACATGAATTCAATTCAAGCTGAATAAAAATAATAAAAGAATAGGAAAAATGTGTAAATGCATAGGTTTAAAAGAAATGACCATTAAATGAAGACCATTATGGAAAACCAACCTTTTTAGAAGACTTTTAAGTTGGATTCACGATAATTGTGCTAATTTCTACAGATTGGGTGGCGTTGCTCAGTAGAACCCTCTGCTATTATTAAACAGAAATAGCAAAAGGTTGCGATATGTTTTAAAAGTTTAATGGTGCTTGTAGCTCATCATGTGCAACCCAACATTGTCTTGGCCCAATTTCCTGTGGTATGTGGCGTCCACTAGGTCAAGCGCCTTTAAATACGATGCTGGAGATTAAAATTTGAACTGTTGCAGCTCAAAAGCTGCAGTGCAGTTTAAAATCAGAGTAGCTGATCTGGGAGTTGACTGGAAGAGGCTGCATCCAAGCTACTTCTTTCCTCCATAAAACAATTAAAAAATAGCATGAATGTATATAAAGGGGTTACACTCCTACATTAAAAGCCAGAAGAATGTTTTTTTTCTTATTCACATTCAAAGAAAGGTGAGAGTGCTCTGATTGATCCGCTATAATATTTTCAGGCTACTAGCCACATATTTAGCAACGGTTTCCCATGTTGTTGCAGACTTTAATGAAAATAAGTGATAGTACCTATCTCTCTGGGTTCCCTGTGTTCTCCAAAGCAGGGAGATGCAGTAGCTCCAGGCAGTGAGAGAGAAAAAAGTGATTCCTCTATTTTCTCAATGTTAATGAGTCACATCTGTGCAAAGCTTCCACTTATTCCCTCCTGAATTAAAAGTTGGATGTGAATATTAAATTTAGAGTATTTTCCATATGAACCAGCCTTTAAACAACAATGCTTTTAGTCAGAGGCTTCTCCAGATCCGGTGCAAGACAGACTGCTACAGAAGATCCTTTAAGCCTACAGCTATCCACTTCTACAACAACTCATTGAAAAAAAAAAGAAAACATGAGTTACTCCATGTAACATGTTCCCTTGGGGATCAATACATTTTTAAATGATTTCGTTTTTGTTGAATTTGAATTCCTTTTCCTCTAGAGCATTGATGTTTGTAGTTTCACCCTGTGCTGAACTTGTGACCTGCCGTTGTGTACCCTGCCCTCCTCAGGAACAGCCTCCAGTCCACCGTGACACACAAAATGATACCAAACTACAAATATTTGTTAATTCTATTTACATACCTGATTTGACTCCTAAGAGAGAAGTAAACAACTGTAAGGTATATATGATCATATCCATATCATTCCTTTTATTCACTAAGTACTTTATGCCTGTTTAAGCATTATTTTAAAAGTGTTGAGGAGACACCTGCTGAACAACGTGGACTGAAGCCAAACAGGATGTTTAGGGGCCTTAACTGTGAGGAACAAACACTATAGTTCATTGACTTAAACCTGTTTGAACTCTTTGGTCCATTTTATCTGTGTGCATATTGCTTTTAAAACAGCTGACCACCATAACTTGGACATCTGATACAGAGAAATGTCGTCAGGGGCCGCTGTGTGCGTAATTGGATCAATACCCCGAAATTAAACTTAGCAAAGAAAACAGGGGTGTATTTTTTTTGAGTGACTTTGTTTGCTATTTGATTGCAGACACAACAGATCCTGGAAAACAGGCTCAATATAAATTAATTATTAAACAGAAAAACTATTCAATAAGCAGAAATATGTATATTTTACCAATTATCATCAAAACAAAATAAGATGTGCAGCCAAAAATTGCTGATTCATTCTACATGTGTCCAAACATGTTCTCTGCTGATTCCTGAAAAAGTCTTCCTGTAATGGACGCCGTGTTGAACAGACAAACAAGGCCAACGTTCAATGCACAGGGTACCCCGTTAGGTAAGGGTTGGTTAAATTGTGACCGGACATGAGTGTAGACTTCATGTGGATTTGGAAAAAAAAAAATAGGTCAGACACTTTTGAGTTGGATCCAGGAGGATATATATGAGCAGGAGGGCAGGTAGTCATCACAAGAAGACCAACACACCAGAAGACACCTGCTGAGATTACTGTTCAGCCATCAACCATGAGGGTTATCAACATAGTAAGTGTTACTTTTATGTTTTTATGCATCCTTTCTGAAATAATTATGGGCTAAATGTGTCTGTTTTATTATTAAATGCAGGGACCAGATCCATCCCTGGCATATCGGCCAAATCTGGACCCCTCCAAGGAGAAAGAAGATTACAGGAACTTTGTGGTAGGTTCAAGTATCTCTTCAGCCTTAATATTTTTTAATGCTGCAATAGTGAAAACTTATATTTAACGATTGTAATTATATATTCTTCTATATCATTAGCTATGCAGAGGAAGAACATATTTTTCCAGCACAGAATTATTTCACTAACTCCGGTTAAACATTTTTCTTTCAAGACTGAAATACCTCTTAATGGATCAAAATAATATTGTCATTCTTTTTCTGGGTTGAAAAATATCTTATTTGTCATATAAATGAGCAGTTTAAGATTTCTGCTAGAATTGAGGATTTTTGCTGTTGAAGCAGGTGTTTTCATTTGCATGAGAAAACAGTGTTATATTAATTTATAAAAAAGATGATTGCGTCAAAAAGGAAATTTCTTTAATCCCCGTTGCTACAATAGGTGGTGTTACCAAATATACTGAGGAGCTGGTTCTTGTGTTGTAGGATGGAAGTCTCATCAACAGAGTCTTTAAAACGTACAGCCTGATGCACACCAACCAGACGGTGGACTTTGTGAAGCAAAAGGTGAGAAAATAAGCAACAATAATTTTGTTGCTTTGTTTCAGCAGCTGTTCCTGCAAAATACAAATCCTCTTTAGCCTAAATCAGTTATTTTACAAATTTGCATAGTCATTATTTTATCATAATTTTTTGTTAATAAACATCTTCTGAAAATAATTAAGACACTATTTTCTATGTTTCTGTAAAGTCAAAATAGGAGAAGAAAAGTCTGAGAGGTTTAGGAGCCTTTGGACATGAAAGGAAAAGCCTTTTCTGTAATCACACTGCACCTTCTTTGCAGCACGCTCAATGGACCCAATGCAACCATTTTAAGATGGGAATGATGGACGCCATCATGTCTCTGGACCAACTGGTGGACGAGTCCGACCCAGACGTCGACTTTCCCAACTCCTTCCACGCCTTTCAGACTGCTGAGGGCATCCGCAAAGAACATCCGGACAAAGGTTTGCCTCTGAAGTGAGACACTGACTGAAAATAACTTCTTCTTAAAAACAAGATAATTTAATCAACCGTATCTCCTCAGACTGGTTCCAGCTAGTGGGGCTGATCCATGATGTTGGGAAAATGATGGCCTTGTGGGATGAGCCGCAGGTATGATACAGATCCTTTGGGCTTTTTTCTCACTTCAAGACCTCTTTAGTCATTTTATTTAATTAGCTAAAAGTGTTTTCATTTGAATTTACATAAGGTACAAAACGCATAAAAGTCAAAAATTTCAAAAAGAATAATTATAGTGCAGCAAGGTCGAACATTTTCCTTTTTGAGGCTTTTTTTATGGCAGTTATCTGTGTGTGTTTCACAGTGGGCTGTAGTGGGAGACACGTTTCCTGTGGGCTGCAAATTTCAAAGTTCCATAGTTTTCAGAGACAGCACCTTCCAGGACAACCCTGACGAGAAAAACCCAGAATACAAGTAAGCCTTCGCAGCTTAAATACTCACTGCTTTATGAGGGAAGTTTTACCGTTTGGATACAAATCAGACTCAGATTAAAATGCTGCTCATATAAAAATAAAATATATTTCTATTTTATCATTTTATAGATTGAATATATCTAATAAAAAGAATACCGTAATTTGACATATTTAGTAGCATTTTTTTTAAAACAACTTTGTTCAATTCAAATTCAAAAATACTTTAGTAATCCAGAAGGTAAATACTTTAAATAATTATCTCAATCGTGCAACTTTGAAAACCTGGTGGTTATTGAGAATGACAATGATTAGGTTATAATAAAGCAGTTCTAACATTTTAGTATTTAAAACGAGAAATGATCGATAACATCCAGATTTAATCCAATAGTGAAACAGCATCAGAAACAAACAAAAAAATAAATAAAATAATCAAATATTACTGTATTTCCTTGCTCGTAGTTTGCTTTCCCTATTGATCGGTCAACAGGAAGCAAAAACTATAGATAAGCATTTTCTAAAGTGCTTGTGGCGCCCTGGGTGGTCAGCCTCAACTCCCATATGAAGAACAAACCAAAAGAATCAGCAGTAAAAGTCCATTTCAGTAAACAAGGTGACAGGCATTAAAACAAACTATCTACTTTTATCTGTAGAAACCCAGCTGCTTTCTCTTTCAAACACTCTGCTAAATAATATATTTTTAAAGAGCTAGAAAGCTCTTCTACTTTACACTGATGCAGCTGAGACAGCACCCCTCAGAAACACAACTAGAATGAAGACTAAGAATGAGGGACAGTGGAGGAATTAGGATTCAATGTGAAACTATTTGAATTTCTGTCCTTTTCTCAGGACTGACTTTGGGATCTATGAACCCAACTGTGGTCTGGACAATGTGCTGATGTCCTGGGGACACGACGGTAAGCAAAATGCTCACATTTAGACCAGTATCCTGCAGGTTCTGCTCAATTTGGGCAGCATGATATATTTAGAGCAATGGAGAAAGTTATTAGAGCACACTTTGCTTTGCTGGGATGGAAATTATACATTTTATTTCCTTCTCCACATCTGGACAGATCAACTCATTTTATGGGGTCAAGCTTTCTAAATGAGAAGTCTGGTTTCTGTATTTATATTGTGCTTTAATCCTTCAGAGTATCTCTACAGAGTCATGAAGTTCAACAACTGCCTTATCCCAGAGGAGGTGCGTAAATATGTTTTAATATATTTTAATATAAAAATAATTTTCCACCTAATTAGATATGTGCAGCCAACCATTCTCCTGTATTTTCTTATCAGCAGTTTTTTTTATTCTTTTTGTTCAAGGAAGTGTGGTTTTGCATTTCTCCTCAGGGTCTGTACATGATTCGCTTCCATTCCTTCTACCCCTGGCACTCTCATGGAGATTACACCCACCTGTGTAATAGTAAAGACCTGCAGATGCTGCCGTGGGTCAAAGAGTTCAAGTGAGTACCTTCCTATTTCCTATCCACTGTTAAAACACAGGCGGACGAGGCTCTCAGCAGGGATCTAACCACCTTCTCCGTTTCTACAGCAAATTCGACCTGTACACAAAAACCACAGATTTGCCCAACGTGGACGAGCTGCGACCTTATTATCAGTCCCTGATCGACAAATACTGTCCTGGAGTGCTGAACTGGTAAACCAGAAGCAGGACGGACATCTGAAATCAGAAGCATGCTTACAAAGTGTAAATATGAGTGACTTCATGCTTTATCAACACTTAAGCTGGACTTAGTGCTTTAGCAAGTTATCGCTTTCTGCTTAAAGGAACTTTTAATCTCTGCAGCATACAGGAAACTGCTGAACTATCACAAAGCTTACAGTAGACAGATGCATGTGCAAAACTTTTTATTTTAATGTATTTTAACAAGTAAAAAAAAAAATCTATATAAAACTACGTCTCTTGTGGTCTTTTTGTTCTGATACTTAAATATATACAGAAAAAACCATGGATATAGCTCAGCACAGTGATGGAGGTGAAAGCGCAAAAACACAGAAAACAGTGAAAATATTTACTTCCTCAGTAAAATGACCTGAACTCCAAACTTTGGATTCCATATTCTGGTTAAATGATTTTCAGTCTCAACATATGAGGATGTACAGATGATGCAGAGTGGAGGCAGCAGACATGGTGGTTGATGAAGAAGAAAGAAATGCTCTTTGGCTTTGGTTTTAAGGCAGGTGGAGATTAGAGTCTGAAACTTCCTCAAAAACTTTCCTCTAGAACCTCATCTTTCTTCATCTCCTCCTCCTCCTCCTCTTCATCCTCATCCTCATCAGTCTCACTGGCTGCCTCTTTTCCCTCCTCCTTCTTTTCATCTCCAGTGTTCTTTTCATCCTCTTCTTCCTCTTCCCCCCGCTGTCTTTGTTTTTCCTCTGGATGCCCTGACAAGCTTTCATCTGTCTCCTCAGTATGTTTGCTCCCTTTTTCGGCCATTTTAAGGGGCTCTACACCGTGTCCTGCTTGTTTTTTCCTGCTGTGCAACCCCTGGAGTAAACAGAAGGTGGTGCTGCAGGCAATGAGAGTCCAGATTAGTGTGTGGGCAGGAACACCTCTGACCTGAGATCGCACCCACCTCACGGCCTGGGCAACAGTGTTGTTAGAAACCCGACGTGGGGCTGATTTGTCCTGCAGAAAAAAAAAAAAAAAAAAAAAGAGAAAAAAAATGTAACCCTTTTCATTGAGATGCCTGGATGTCTGCATTGGAGAGTACGATAAACCTAAAACAATAAGCTTTCTCTCTTTATTACCTCCTTCTAAAACATTATTTACTTTAAAATATAGTGGCGCTAGTGGCCTTTAACAGGAGAAGAAGGAACATGGAGGAAAGTTCTCAGTCTCAGGATCCAAACCCAGAAAGGCTGTCGAGAACTTTGTTGTCCATTGCACTGCTGCACCGCCACCATACCCAGGCTTTTAGTTAGCAATGCGTTCAGTCGTACAGTAGACAAAACAGGTCAGCCCCTCAGGAATGGGCAATCGTTTGGGTTCTCTGTTAGCCTGCAAGAACCCAAATGACTTCCTAAGGGGCTATCCTGTTCATCTGTTTTAATTTGCATGTTTTCTAAGCAAAAATAAGGTTTTGTTTTTGGTCTACTCTATAAAGCTTCTGACTACAAAATGGAGGTGACCAAAATTCCCCCATAAGAATGACCTTAACTCGTCTCAAGGAGTCTCCGAATATGTGTCGGAAAAGTGAGAAGAAAACACCTGGTGGAGAAGCTTAAAGTTAGTCTGGGTTGAAAAGCTGAGCTCACCCTTTAAATAAGAGGGGAGCTCATCTTTGTCATCTCAAACACTGAGCTATTCTGCGACATAATGGGATGTTTAGGTCGATTCCAGTTGTTGTGACTGAGCTGATCTCTACTGAGATAAATATAATCCAGTAATCAAGGTTTTCATTAAAAAACAAGAAGATGGGGGTTTGACTGAGGGGGGGCGGGGATCCTAACACGAGGATAAAAAAAAAATTAACAGGAGAATTTTAGATTGTGATTCAGAGCTAGTTATGTTTGGCTAATTAATTATAATGATTTGTGAACATTGTCTTTCAGGCTTGGGTGTGTTTTTCCTCTTGAACATTTGACATGAGAGCACGACATTAAAAAGAAGACAATGCAGAGAAAGCGGCGAGACAAATGAGTGATACTTGGTTATAAATGGAGTTTCGAAAATGTAACATTTTTGGAGTTTGATGCACTTGGCATAACAATTTTTGTCCTTTTTATAACGATATCAGAATTATATTGCATCGACTGTAATTAAGTATATATCATGATATGAGTTTTGGTCACATCGTCCAGCTCCATTACATTTATGCAATGGATATTATTAGAAATTTGATCTTCACTTTAGAAGGGAATTGGGGTTTATTCTAACTTTATTAAGACTAATTTTATCTCACAGAGAGAAAGAAAAGTACCTTAAGGCCAAACTGGCTGAGCATGCCCTCCAGGAAAGCGTTGCCCAAGTGCACCCTGGGATAGAACTCTTCATCATAGACCCTCCTCCACCAACGCTCTGGATAAGACCTGCAAGGATCCAAACAAGAAAATGCTAGAGATGTGAGGCATGGATCAACATTTATCTATGGCAAAGTTTGTTTTTTTGTGATGAAAAAAAAGGAAAAATTGGTAAATAAACTATTTTCTGAGTGAAAATCTACAAACTTTAAATAACAATTGAAGTTTTCCCCAAGATGATGTGGAGATACAATAGATCTGATGAATATTAAGCTTTTTATTTCCACAACTCTGTTATGAAAGAAGTGAAATAAAAGGCAAATGTTTCAGCACCGGTGGAGAGAGGAAGGAAGGCAGAGTACTGACCCGTCAGACTTTGGTTCAGTGAACCAGTATCTGTAGCGGTGAGCTCGGAGGTAGGCGGGCGGCTCCTCGTGAAACGGATACTTGGAGACATCCGTCTGAATCAGTTCAATCACTGCAGGAACAGAAGGCAAACTTGAAGAGAACCATTTGTCCCTTGCTAAATAAAAAAAAAAGTTTATAGATTTCTTTGACCTAGCTCTATCTAAAGCCTCTGTCACACTTTGACGATTTAGACCAGCGTATGTCTGATGTACGAAAAATCTGGCTAAAAACCCTGGCATACGTTGGACAAGTTAAGGGTACAATATGTTTTGTAGGCCAGTTTCGTATAAGTTATGAGCTCGCTGGCGTACATCGACATGCTCATAAGTTACAGGTTAGTTATTTAATTGTTGATATTTCTTATGTGTAATTACTCATAATTCGTGGCGTTTAGCTTATTCAAAACCTATTAATAACTTCTGTATAACTTATCAAGAACTTATCTCCAACGAATATCAACGAATTTGATGTGTTCTAGATGACCTCTGACTGTGTTTCTAAGTTAGAGCTATTGTCTAATAGCGTATTGGCAGTGTTAAGGTGTAAAAGAGGTTCACAGGAGGAAACCGTCTGTATTTCGCCAGACTTCATCACCATCATAGTGTGAGCGGGGAGGTGAGGGTGAAGGATCCTTCCTGTGTTTACGCCCACGACCAACAGACTTCCGAGCAGACATGACGCTGAATCTGCTGCGACTGCAAACCTTCTTTCTTTCTTTGTATTTTTTTTGGGTGGGCAGTAGCTAGGTTAATATCGTGATCAAAGATATGTTTTTATGCAGGCAGGGCGCATCGCTGCCCCCCTCAGGACACTGGCCTGATGATATTTCATGGGCTTTATGGTGCCATGCATTATGTACAAGTTGGGCTGTTGTTGGACATAAGTTCTGGACTCGTTATGAATGCTTTATATACATGCCCAAAATTGGAAAAATACTGGCATATGCCAGCATTTTAAAACATTCTGTGATGTCAGGTATACGCTAGCTAAATCGTCAAGGTGCGACAGTGGCTTAAAGAGCAGAAAAAAACTTGCAATGTTTGGCACCTTCTTTTTTGCCCTGCAGGAGTCGGTACATCAGACTGGTAAACCACGGACTCTGGTTCTGAGGGCCCAGAGCTGCAAACCACATCTGCCAGTCCAGCCGAGGCTGATGCGGCGTCACCACAGGAGGAGATGCGCTCATGTTCCCCGGCTTGTACATGAACTCGATTTCCTGCAAAGACAAAACCGAAACTTTAAAGACAAACAGCTCAGCTGCACAAACAGATTCTGCTTAAACCATCATCTCACCGTCCAGGTGTTCCCATCCATGCTTCCTTCGATGACCACCTCCGGCCTCCCGCCGACTCCCGTCATCCTTCTGAACAGGCCGTAGGAGTTGACCAGCTGGTAGCGGTCCACCAGACTGTACGCCTCACGCACCCCGGGCCACAGCCTGGCGTGAGAGTCATACTCTATATAACTATACGGCACCTGAAAGGATTCAAATAAAAAAATACTGAAAACTGCAAAGAGGTGCTGCAGATCTTTAAAAGACTGATCATACATCTGGTTTACCCAGCACCCACCAGACTGACTGCAAACATGGCCACAGCAGCAGTGGCGAACAGCGTCCACTGGATCATCCTCAGAAACCTCTTCAGGAAGCCAGAGACGCAGGAACACCTGCACATGAGTTCACATTATAGGAGGAGCAACAAACACGCCTGGGAGACAAAGAACGGCTCGATACCTGAACATGGATGTGACCAACTCCCAGGTGAGCGAGACCACACCGATCCAGATAGAGGGGATGGTAACGGTCTTCAGAAACTGGTTAAACTGATGGAATGTGAATGCTGCCAAGGTAAAAACAAAGCAGTGAGGTGGAGATCTTTGTTGATGTTTATTGGAGGAACTGGAGCAGAGTAACCTACCTGTTCGAGAGGAGATGGCGTTCTTCACAGAATCCACCTGCAGATCGAAGCAGAGGATCGTTCCAAAGATCAGGAGAGCCCAGACCAGCAGCTCCAGGAAGTAACCAAGCCACAGCAGCCACTTGGAGTCTAAAACAAAAATATATGTTTAAATGTTTTCTGCAAACAAAATCCTCTTTAAGGCTCTGATCATCACAACAGAGAAAAAAAAAATAGATGTTCTGTTTTTTAAAAGAGCACTGGGTTTTATATAAACCTTTTAAAAAAAAAAAAAAAGACATTTTCAAGATTTCTTTCTAGTTTTGAAAAAAAAAAACTCAACATTTGAGACAGAATACAGACTTAGCTGCTAGAAAAGCATTAATCAGTGGGTTAAAAACCCACTGAATCACGAGACAAAAAAGAAAATCTGTAATCAGATATATGATGAGTAAAATGTGAGAATAGGTTGTTAAAATAACAGATCAGTGTAGCATTCACTGCATTTATTCTCCAACCTTTAGAAAAACTGAAAAACAAACCCTTCTTCTCTCTGATCTTAATGTATTTGTTCCATCCTAATCTAGAGCAGGCAAGGCTTTCATTGATTCTCAGCTCTACAATGACTTCAGTTAAAAGCAACTTAATTAAAATTCATCATCTTTTTTTAGTTACTCTAAAAGATGAACAATCCCTCCACAGTAAAAGCTTTGCTGGATCGTACCGTTTTTCTCGTCTACGGACTTTTCTGCTCTGCAGAGCCAAAAGTTGACATGGCGGTCGTCCAGCAGGGACACACAGAGGGCCAGCGTCAGCAGGTTGAAAAAGTTGTAGTTTCCTGATAAAATGATGAGAACCTGAAGAAGCACCTATAAAGAAATCAAAATAAATAAATAATCAGATTTACAAAGGTTGTTTCTCATAAAGGTGCATCTTATTTTCATCTGGAGCAATCTGTCTGGTAAGCTGGAAACCAAAATGTTATTTTTTGTTAGGAAAATGTATATATATGAAATTTATATTATTATGTATATTTTGTTTAATTCGAAGAAATCTGTCAAAAGGCTTTAGTCGGTGTCTGATTCAGGGAGGTTTGGTCAAAAAGAAGAAGGAACAAACTATCTGAAATTACTACAGAAAAGCTACTTTTATGCTTTTCAAAGGTGTGTTGGATGGAAAATCTCTATCATTGAGGGAAATTTATTTTCTTAGATATTCACAGAAAACCTGCAAATTATACTCCAACCAGATTTCAGTAGTGCAGCTTTACTTTTTACATGGTTTATACAGGAAGGAGGAACTCTAATGTATTGCTTTTTAATGCTCTTAGAAATAATTTTAATGCCATAAATAGGTATCCATTACTCTCATATATAGCTGGCTTTAGGATCAACCAGGAGCAGTTCCACACAAACACGTGGAACCAGTTAAATCTGATATATTGGACAAAATTTTATTTTTTATAAAGCATTTTAAATGCCATGATAATCACATTTAATGAATTTTAATGCCAATTAAGGCCTTAATTTAAAAAAAAAAAATCATAATTTAATGACTTTTAATGACCCACAGAAACCCTGTTTTAAGTTCAGCCTAATAACGAAATAATTCCTGTGCACAAATTTCTACGTTAAACCTTAAATTTGGTTTGGGGTGAATGGAGTCCTTTTAGTTTTCTAAAGGATCTTTTCCAGGTATTTTGGAACATTACTGCTCTATCGAGCTCAGCTCACATCATTTGATAAAAATGCTTTTTTTGTTTGTAAAGCCGCTGATCTATAACTCGAAGCACTTTGATACTTGAACCCAAATGTCTTTGGTCTAGCATGTATAAAACATTAAAGAGATCACAATTTAAAGGTTAAAACATTTTTTATACCAACAAAGTTATTTGAAAATAGCATCTCTGAAAATAAGTGTAAGGAGGAGAATCAGCTGAAGGATGATGTATCGCTGTGGTCCTGCATCAGCTACTGAGAGGAAAAAAATAACTTTTATCTGCTAAACATTTATTTCCAAACATGTTTTGATGATTTCACCTATTTTCCAAGCAAATAATGTAGAGATATTAAGTCATGGACAACAACAAAGACTGAAAAACAATAAAAAAAATTAGATAATCTGAAAAAACCTAAATGCAAAGTATTCAAGAAGTGTTTTTTCCAAACTTCTGTAGAATACCTACAACCATTTGGCTTTTCTCATAAAGCAAATAGATCACTTTTGAATTTATTCTCACCTGCAAATAAAAGGCCCCGAGCCGCAGCCGTCGGAGGGGACTGAAGAAGAGCAAAGGGACGGGGATCTCTATAACCAGTGCACCCACTACGCTGAGCTTCTGCCACCAAACTGGCAGCTGGTGGGCAAACCAGGCCAGCGGAGTCGGGATGCACTGAGTTTCATAATGATACGTCAGAGCTGCTCGACAGACACGGACAGAAAAGAGGCAATCAGTCAGAGAGAGCTTCCAACGAAACCCACAAACATCCCCCAGCTTTTTAACGGAACCACTTGTACCTGTGAGGCCCCACCATGTGGGACAGCGTGAGGTGAGCTTCACCACGCCAGAAGCAAACATCAGCCTGAAGAGCAGCCAGCGGATCAGCCAGAAGGTCACACGGTCGTGCTCTCTGCCCGCTCGAGATCCCCGGATTAAAGTCAGGGGGGCGACGAGGATACAGAGGAAGCCCGTCTCAAGGAGCAAGTTGTCCCTGAAGGGCAGAAAATAAAAATGAGTTACACATAAAGATAAGCAAAACATTGGTATGATGACAAAGCAGCATTGAATTACTTGTGGAAACTCGTGCTCCTAGAACTGGAACAAAGTTTAATGCATTACAACCACAAGCTTCAATGCATTTTAGCAGGAACTTCAATAAAATCGACTTGAGACTTAGGCTATGTTCACATAGCCTAAGTCTCATATGTTTGCCCATATGCGACCTGGATCTGATCTTTTCATGACAGTCTGAACAACACAGATCCAATTTTTTCCAATGCGACCCAGGCCGCTTGGCTATGTGGTCCTGAATACGAATCTGATCTTTTCAAAAGCCAGGTCGCATTCATCCGACCTGAATGTCATTAATACCCGACAAAGCTCACTCTTCTGGTTCTTGCTACACAGAAGTGGCAAGAAAAACAACAACAATGGTGGAAGATAATGCGGAGTAGTATTTACTTTTAACCATCTTGGATAGATTGAGTTTTTAAGGTTGGGAAAGATCGCTATCTGTTCTCCAGCACTACCATCCATGTTTACTTCCGTAAACACAGAGCACGCTTGCTTGTGATGTCATTGCATCCTCTACTTCACATGCAGGACACTTAGGTTGTATGAATGCAGTTCACACAGGAGATCAAATACAATTCGCATATATATGGAAATGTGAATGGAAACGCAAAAAAAAAAAGTCGGATTTCACACAAAAAATCGGAATTGAGCATCAAGGCCTGCAGTGTGAACGTAGCCTTAGACACATTCTAGTCAACCCACATCTGATCAACATATATTCAGAGATGTCAAGTAACGAAGTACAAATACTTAAGTACACTTTTTAGGTATCTATACTTTACTCCGTTACTTGTTTTTATTCCTACTTACTTCTACTTGTTATATTTTAATACAAGTATTTGCACTTTCTATTCCTTACATTTTAAAAACAAACGTTACTCGTTACTCTTGGCTTCGGATTAATGTTTATAAATATTTATTTTATTTGCTCCATCCAATGCAAATCATTGGCGCCATCCACATCTAGTGAAAATTTATGTAATAGGATGAGTCATATAATGCAAACACTCATTGGTTAGCTAAAGGAAATCATCAGAAGCAAGCAGGTGTTCATCAAACTGCAAGCGTGAATTGTCTATGCCATGCTACAATGTAGGATTCAGAAAAAGATGTCGAAATGTCTGAAAGGTCAAACACGGGCGTGAGCGTATCGGGAGATGGAGACCAACACAACCTCCATCATCCTTGGCCCAAATTTTTTGAAATAGTCGAAAAATTGAGCTTTCAATTCATATAGTGGCATCTGGCTGTTTTTTTTTTTTTAAGGTTACTTTATACTTTTTATACTTTAACTCGTTTTTGGAGAACATACTTTTTTAGCTTTACTTGAGTAAATAGGTCAAGTTGATACTTCAGCATTTACCAGAGTGTTTTTAAACTGCAGTATCTATACTTCTACTTAACAGATGTGTTACCTAGATCAAATAAAGAATCTGTCCAGACTTGAAAAATTAGACACTCCTCAGCTTGAGAATCCATTAATCTGTTTCCACCTCACCATGATGCAGTAATTTGTGCTGATCTGTTGCTTGAACCGCACTTTAATGTGGGGCTGTAACGTCAACGTCTTGCAGTCACACTTACCACTGGAAGTAGAGGAACACCTGGCCCACCTGTAATAGGAAAGCAGATGAGTGAAAATAAAAGCAAAAAAAAAAAAATAACTGGTTTAGGAGATCATAAACTCACTTGGTACATGGACAAGTACAAGGCCCAGAGGCAGAAGAAGACCAGGCTGTCTCTGAGAGCCTCCACCAGGGTGGCTGCCAGGCTGAGGGCAGCCCCAGTCAGACACAGCAGCTCCATGGCAGTCTGAGTGTCCAGGCCCAGGTGAGGCCCCAGCCACAACAGGGTGGGAGAGGACAGCAGCTGTTCCAGCAGAGGCTTCCCAGTGTAGCGGAGCTGCCAGCGGGCAGGGAGCAGCCCATTGTTCCCATAGAGACCTGCACATGAAGAATGACAGGAATGTTTCTGAGATTGGGATCGACTCTTTTTTTTTTTCTCCCCTCCATTTTTCTAGACTTAGACAGATTTATTTTGTCATTTTGCATACACAAGTGTAAACAAAAAGAAATTTAGTTAAGAACAGCTCTCTAGACAATTTCATTTTTTTTTAAAGCGCAGCCTTGAAAACAGTAAAAAAAATACATGAAAACAGAAATATAAACATTTCAGTATTTTATATAATAAAATATAATACAATAACCCCTTTTACATAACATTCAGCAGTCTAATGGCACTTCTGTTGCAAACTAATGTTTGCAGCTTTATCAAATATGGGTTAATATTTACTTTTAAAACTCATAGAAATAGGGACACGGGTTTGGAATTGAGCCGAAATGCATTGTGGGGGAAACAAATGACCCAGAGTGATGGAAATAAAACTTTTTTTGGATTCAATCCTACTTTCTTAATATAAAAATACTGTGTTTCAGATGTGCTTAAAGAATAAATAGCATATCATATAAATTATTATGTGATCATTTTCTACAGCAGGTTGTGTTTAAACTTAGCTCAGTGCGCAGATAAAAAGAAGTTTCCAGGCGGTTGCTCACCACGTAAACACTGTTACAAGTTTGCAGCTAGCAGAGCTAACACTGACCGCCGAGCAGAGAGAAAAGGGGGCAGGCTTCTGCCAGAGTCTCACCTGGTGCCTGAACGTAGAGGGAAACAAAAGCTACCATGTAAATGAGCGCCATGCACCAGAGGAAAAGGCGCCGAGGCAGGATGATATCCCCCATGTTGGATTTGCCTCTCCCAAACTCGGCTGGTCCAGAAGAAAGGAAGGAAGCTGCAACAGGACAAGCGGAATAGAGAGAAGCGGGAGACACGTATTAATCGGAACGTTTGCAGTACCACAGATATGCCGCCAGATGTCGCTGCTGCTCTATTCAAACGCGTGCAACATTTAAGGACCACTGGGAAATTTTGGTTACTGATAAGGTTCTCTGTACCATTTATTTTTATTTCACTAAAGTTCTGTTTCAGTTGTGATTTTTAATAAAAAGAAAAAGTGATAGCTTCAGTGGTATTGGTATGGGATTAAAGTTTTCATCAGCTAAATGTTGTTTTGAACCAAAATAATAATAATTTGTTGCAGTTTAATTTTTCTCATGCCGATTTAATTAAATCTAGTCATTTCCCTGTAAAATAACTTAAAATGTGTAATAATGTGTAATTCAATATTTTATTGAATCATAAATTTGCCTAATATGCAAGGGAATACTTTTATTTTACCCTTTGGTAAATATATAGTGTGCAATTAATTATTAGCTATTTCAGTTGTTTTTTGTTTGTTTTGTTGTTTTTTTTTTTTGCGTTGTAAAAGATATTTTTAATTTTAGTTTAATACATTTAAAATGTTCTAACATTAAATCAAAATTTTCAGTTTGACCAGCATCAAACTTAAATGAAATGGAAATTTCACTTCATCCAATGCAGAGTTTCAAGTGGCTCTTTGGTTCTGCAGCTCTCTTACTGTAATATTTAAATGTTTTTGGTTTCACGCTTTTCTGTGCAACCATGAAAACATGCTGGCTCCATCCATGACCCCTTGTAATCTAGGTCTAGATCTGCCCCTACTATTGAAATACAAAGATCACGTGGGACAATGTTTTCTACGATGTTCATTTAAAAACAAAGTCCTCTATTGCAGCTGACCTCCATCCCTGGGACGGTTGTAACCTTTCATAAATCCAGTCAGTTTCACAATTTTTTCTTCCTCAATGAGAGCATTTTTCTGGGAATCTGTATAGTTTATAAAGCGTAAATTGCCGAATACTATTTATTTTGAAATTTATTCGAACATGATACAAATATAAAAATAAAGTAGTGCACAGTAACAAGAAGTGCATAAAAAAGAAGAGAAAAAAATACAGATATTTGTTTCAATTAACATATCATGCTCAAAATTGCAATTAAAGTATGAAGACATCCATTGAATGAGCTGGTGAGAAGGGCAGCTGCTGTCCTGGGCTGCACTCTGGACTCAGAGAAGGAAGTGGCTGAGAGAGGAGGGTGCTGTCCAAGCTTCCATCCATCATGGACAACACCTTCCATCCTCTGCAAAGGAGTTGAGCAGCATCTTTAGTGAAAGACTTTTACACCCTGTTTGTAAAAGGAGCACTACCACAGGTCATTCATCCCTGCTGCCATCAGATTTTACAATGCGTAATGCAATTACTATTTATTACCCTATGCAATAATCCTGTTAAATAAAAGACTTCAGCTGTTATAGTTATCTCACTACCTCACTGTTGTTCTTTACCTGGTACTACTTATGTACATTGCCAAATTTGTATGTGCATAAATCACCGTAAATGTATATAAGTCACTGTAAATCTCTGCCTTATTTCTTTTTATTATTATTCTTGATCCACTGTATATACCACATGCAATTTTATTCTCCATCTTTTGACCATTGAGCCGATTTGACAAGTGAATTTTTCCACTGTGAGATCAATAAACTCCATCTTATCTTATTCCTGACAATCTATCCATTAACATATAATTTTAGACCCCATAACATCAAGATTTTATGTAAATAAAAATGTCCTTGATTCAATATGAAAAGTTTAAGCATAACAATTATTGGGTTGGTTAACGTAATGCACCTGGGGCGTTTTGTATATAAATGTCTAATTAACCTGGCTGAGCTTGTTTTGCACAGAAGAATCAGAGCTATTCTGTTTGATGATGCTTAAAGCTTGCAGAAAAATGCATCAAAGGCAGCTGAGAAAAGTGGTTCTATGACACCTTGAGACTGAAGGCACCAAGCTGTGCCAATCAACTGACAACTGCTACAATCCTCCACCTTTCACTTCAAATTAAGTCTGTTATACAAAACACAAATGTGATTTTTAGCTGTAATGGGACAGAGTATAGAGAAGATAAATGGCCACAAGGACTTAAGCGAAGCAGACACATTTGGTTTGACATGAGTTTATTGTGCAACTCACCTGGCAAGCATAGAGATTCATGGAAATAAAAAGATGCTCTGCATGCTGCAAGTCCAAGAGGAAAAGCATCCATATAGATTTATATACATTCAAGTTTTAGCCACAAACAAAAATAATAAACTACTGATCACACAGATTAGAGTACCAATAAATCTCTTGACTTCAGGAATGCCCTGTGGAGGCATCAGATTTTATTCTTAAACGTTAGAAAAATTACGAAAAAAACAACAAAAAAAGAACAACCCAGATCTGACTCCAAACAACATTTACAGAGTATATTTTTACGTAGCACCAACCATAGAAGATGCTTTTTTCAGATGTTGGGCAGGTCAGTAGTGAGACTTTTAAAACAAGTGCCAAAGCAGCTGCGATGAAGCTTGGCAACATGAAATCTGACATAGGTGCTACATGAAGACAAAATGAATGAAAAAAAGGAAACTAGTATATCCCAACTTCCAATTTTACATTAAGTTACTTTTAGTAAAAATCCACATATCACCATGGAAGTAAATCTGGAAGTAGATAAATATATTTGCCATGCTACTTTAATTTGAAATTTTAATTAGAAAAAACTATTAAATCAAATAGTCACAATAGATCTTCTGCAAAGAACTTCTTAATCTAATAAAACATTTGCATATTACACCTTTGATCTTTTTTTTTTTTTTTATTCAAGGAAAGTAACTAGAACCCCTCTCAGGACTAATAGAAAACTAGTTTTTGATGTCATCTTTTGACACTAAGGAAATAAAAAATGTGAAAAATACTGTGGCAGTAATCATCAATACCAGTAAATTTAAACAACATTAATACCGGAGAATGTTCCAATAAAAACAAACAAAAAAAAACAAGTCACATGTTTACACAGCATGTTTTGAAATCTTGGCTCCAAAAGCCTTTTCTTGGCTGGATTGTATTTTTTCGTACAGGCACCACTATTGAAATGGAGAAAAAAAAACGGCGTAACACTGGAAGAACCTAACTGCATATAAATGGTTGCTTGAAGAAATATGTGCATCCCTTTTAACATGGCTCCTGAAATTCAGTGATTTAAAGATGGACAAAATAATATTAGCTGCCACATGTGTGCAAAACGAGAGGAGATTGCTGATACAGTGTAGCCTGGGTCGTGGCCCAGTGCGGACGGCTAGAGTAAAAAATAAAAGAAAAACTTCAAATTTAGAGAGCCCCTTCTACTATTTTCAACTATATCCATTTTTCTTTAGTCATAAAGCAACTGCTTCCACTTAATACACCGTTTTGAGCACATGAGCAATTGTGTCCTTTATTATTTTTATTATAATATGTCCAGACCTTTGGATCTTTGAGAATTTAAGGCAAATATTGATTCCCACAAATTTGGATGGCTAGACTTTAGGAGAGTGCGTTCACTCAGACAGTGCCCCCTGCTGGCGGAACCAAACGTCTTCAGAGTCATGAGGTTCCATCAGCTGCACAAGTCTGTCCACTATTCACCATCTGGGCCACGGGCTCAGGGTCCGTTTCCCTGACGCAGACGACTGCATCCCCGCTGACGTTAATGAGGCACTGAGCCTAAAAGGGGATCAAACATTTCAGTTCATTCACATATGTGCCAAAGCATCTTATTACATTAAAATGTGATTAAAAAGGTATTTCATTTCAGCAAATCATTAAAAAAATGTACAAAAGGTTATTTAGGATACAATTATTACACAAAGAGGGATCTAGTGTTGTTCTGCTTATCACTAAAAGGTCCTATGTTTCTGTTATATAAGAAGTTCGAAGAAACCAGATTATTTTTCTTCATACCATCCTAAAAAAATGGATGGATGAAACTGCCCCCTGAAAACATATTCATGTGCTTTATATGGCTAAGTATTTAGTCAGGACCCTTCATGGACTGCAGCAATATATCGATCAGCTCTTGATCTGCTGAGGTGTTTAATGGTAGCCTGGTCATGCAGGCTGGTTTACTTCATGGACACAGGATATTAGTCTGCAAAAAGGAGCGGGTAGAACTTGACTTTAAAGGCTGGACTTACAGAGTCAGTGGAAACAGTTTAGAACCAGTAAGAAAACTACAGATGTGATGCAAAATATCTTTTTTTTTTTTTTACTTTTAGCTTTTTTTTGTAATTCTTTACTATCAGGAAGTCCATAAACTGTAGTTAAAAGCCTTATGCTGACCCAAAATGCTGCAGCCAGAGTTCTGACGAAAATTAAAAAGAGAAATCATATCTCTCCTATCTATAGGTATGCTGCTATTAGCTTAGACCACTGGAGGACATGGGAACCCCTATTCTGCTTCATTCTATCTCTATTCTCCCACTGCAGAATATTTCAGTTCAATCTCTAACATTATGCTCTCTCTGCTTTTTCCTCATAGTAGCTCCGCCTCGTCTGTTCCTGTCTGGCTGTGACTCCATCCTGGAGAGAAATATCAGCTGTGCTATTGCCATCAACAACTTTGTTTATAGATGTTGGAGATTGGCGTGTTTTGCAGTGTAGTCCTGTTTCCTTGACTGTGACTGGCTGGATGTGCTCTCTTCATCCTCTGACGTGGGAGCTGGCTCGGAGCTCGTCTGCTTGGCTGTGTGTTTCCTGGATGGGGCCGCCCATTACAGTTGCCTTTTGTATCCCTGCTTCTGTCTCCTTGAACCCCAGTCGGCCTCGGCATATGGCCGCTCACACTGAGCCTGGTTCTGATGGAGGTTTCTTCCTGTTAAAATGGAGTTTTTCCTCTCCACTGTTGCTACAAGCATGCTTAGTGTGAGGGATTGCCTTCAAGTTATGAGTCAATGCAATCAACTGGTTTTCCTTAGATAGAAAACTTTGAATCAATTTGACTGTATGATCTTGTGAACTGCAAAGTGCCTTAAGATGACATGTGTTGTGAATTGATAGTTTGATTGATAGATAGATTGATAGATAAACTGAATTGAATTAAATTAAAGAAAAGCTCTTATAGCATCCAGTTTTTGAAGTTTTAGCTTTTTTGAGATTTAATAAAGGGCATCATTGAAACATTGCTGCATTGCAGCTGCAGTCTTGACTTTTATGGTTACAGAAAAGCGCTGCTGCATTATGGGCCCGCCTCTCATGCTGAATCGTCCAGTCGGTTTTAGACAACACTGACTTAGGCCCTGATTAAGTCAGTCAATTGGTACTTATAGCAGGATGACTAGAATCCAAGCCCTGCTGGCAAATACCATCCCCAACTCCTTAAAGATTGGAAGCAGGAGGAAGCATTTGAAACTGAAAGATTTTCTGCTAAATCATTACTGACTGGGACATCTTCATATTGTATCCTCAAGAAACTTGGATTCTTTTCCTCTCTAGACTCAGACCTTTATCTCCAGATGAGGTTTAAAATATCCTTTTTTTTCAGTCCTTAGATCATCCTTAGATCAGGCAGGATGCTTATGATGTCTCTGGATCAGGAGGGTCATAGCAGCTATTACTCAGGTCCTTCTGTTTGTTTCACTGAGGTTGCTAATGAAACGCTGAATCCAGTCAGAGTAAACACTCAGTGAAGCCTCCCAAACTGTCAACGATGCATTTATCCTCTATACCTTACACCTTTTTTTCCACCAAACCTTCTACTAATTAGCTTGATCAGTTTCTTTATAAATCACAGATTCACTGAGGTGTGCCTGTAAAAACGAAGGTTTCCAGCATATGAGAAAAACCTTTATGTGTGGCTACCTGATTCTTGTTGGGATTTTCCATTAAAACGCAGTCCTTCATGCTGTAGGACACCACAGCATTGCCACCCAGAGCTGCTACATGGGCTCGAACCATCGCAAACACTTCTGCAATGAACGAATGCAAGAAGCCGCTAACCCCACCTTCCTGAAGAGAACAAACACATTTCATGTGAAAAAAAACAACAACAAAAAGGCAGCACAATGAGTTGCTCCTGCAGCCTTTAACTGCACCTCTCTTAACGATGTCGTCTCTCTGATGAAGAACATGTTGATGATGCCAAGGTATTTAATGATGCGCGTCCCAGGGAGGAAAGAGAGCGGTGTCATCTTCACCATGGTGACCGAACTGCCTCCGAAGGAACGGCTTGAGCGCAGTGAACGAGAGCGTCCCTCTGTCAGCGGGCTGCAGTGCTCCAAAGACGAGACTGAAGGTCCAGAGAGAGAGAAAGAGGCCAAGCAGAGGAGCGAGAGAAGGATGTGAAGGGATAACAAGAGGAGGAGACAGCAGGGCAAAAAAAAAAAAGGAGACAAGGGAACTGAGACACCAGCAACCACTTAAAAAACTGGAAAAATATAAAAGCAGATATGAGCTTTGAAGCACTAATTAGAGATATCATGCAAAAATGCAATCCACTTAGTACTGGAACAGCAAGGCTTTGACACTGATAGAAAGTAGAGCAAAAAACAGATTCAAACCCATGGAAAATTATGATTTATATCACAACTTTATATCCTCCATCGAGTCTTTCAGGCTAAAAATGATAAATATAGATAGAAGTTTGGGTTTGAAATAACGATAAGAGGAATATTAGGAAATATTGTTTGTTCCCTAGAAAGAACACCCTTAAATTAAATTGAGATGTTTTCACCCTTTTAGCTTCATGTTGTCCTTCCTTATTTCTTTAATTGGTCATTTCTATAATTTTGTTGGATTCAAATGTGAAAGAAAAGATGTTCTGTGATTTCAATATATAATATCTATCAGCAAGAGGTTTGTGTTGTTTTTTTTTATCTGACATATTTTATTAATCAAGTGGCCCAAATAATGGGAAACAGGATTTAATTTATGTTTTTAGATCAATATCAAACGATAATATTCAACAGGTGATTTTAGATTGTTTGTGAAAACATCTCCATAAATTATTAAAATAGATTACAAAAGTTTTTTATATCAGTATAAAAAATATGTTGCTTAAAAAAAAAATACAAAAAAGGTTTAAAAAAACAGCTTCATTTTAACTGGTTGGAGCCTTTTCTGATACAATTCCAGCCTTTTCAGATTTTCTGAAGCTCACATATTCCCTTTATTATGGTGAATCTGATTAACCTCAATCCAGAAAATTCAGCTGTCCTCTCTCAATTCTGCTGACTTTAGTTGCAGGAAATTTGGGCAAACATTGACCTTACACTAGCTAACTGTTTCTCCAAAAGTAAAGAAAGAGAAGACAAAGTGGTCAGAGAGGCTGTGGGAGCAGGAAGGTACCAGATTCCAACTGAAGAAGTTCAAATGGTGACGGTGGATAAAAATGTTCTTCAACTACCTACTAGCATAAGGCTATACACACATTTTCCGTTTATCTGGTTTCTTTTTCAGGTAAATCATTTAGGATATGTCATGTTTTAAAGGTTTATAGAAAAAAAAAATATTTTACAACCTCCCCAAAACTAGTACCAGGTTTAAAGTATTTTTAAACATGTAAAAATAATAACTTTGGCACATGCTTATGATTTGACAAAGGAATTAATTATTTCAAAACACAATCTAGTTTGTATCCAATGCAGTCAATAATTTTGTTCAATTTCTACATCTAAAAAAGGTCTAGTTTCTTTCTGATAGAAAGTTTCATCTTAAAGATCTGTGAAGCATAACAGCCAAAAACTTTGCTGTTTATTTGGGAGCCTTGATTTAAAAATGGCCGTAAAGGTAAAAATATTTGAGATTTATTTCAATGGTAATTATAAAAAAGAGCTACAGTGGGATTCTGTAAAAAAGTCTCAGGCATTTTTAATGCGCCAACCATAGTATGATCTGAAACATACAGTAGGAGGGATTAACATTTGCAGTAATAAATTAGAATAAAATAAGTAAATACTGACCACCGGTCTAGAAGGATCAAACACAACTTTACATGGGTATGAATCATTTTGAGCTCACTTATATTGTTAGAGTGACATAACTTTAAATGTAGTTTTGTGTGTGGTCGGTGCACGGTGTCAAGACGATCACTTGGAAAGTGTGCGCTGCCAAGCATGTCATGCAACGGAGGTAAAAAAAACAGACGGAAAACGTCTGCAGACAGACAGACAGACCTGGGCACAGCTGTTTACAGGTGTGAATACAGTGTTTACAGTGGAATACATGAGAGAAGATTTCTGATTCTTTGGCATTTGTGAACGAGGCTTGAGACATGGAAACGGACAGAGACAGCTATGAGCCGAGCTGGGCACATGTACACAAACCAGAGAGTGAAAGGTGCTTCATTGTACAGCGCAGATTTACCTGATGCTGTTTCCATCCGTCAAACCAGGAACCTTCAGAGCCAAACATTACACATACTGTGCACAGGACTGAAAATCAAACTAGGAACTGCACCCCCACCCATCCTGCCCTGATGATTTGTTTATAGTGATCATTCAGACGTCTTTACCCGTAAAACCATCTCCATGAATTACAATATCATCAAAAGGTTCTTCAATTTCAGTAAAAATCTTATTACAGATACATTACATACTGAAAAATATTTATGTCAAGCATATATTTCTGTTTATTTTGATGATTTTGGCTTGCAGCTGCAAAAATCCAAAGGGTTTCTCAGACAATCAGAATGTTACATAAGACCAAAAAAAAGATTAGTAAAAAAATGTAATGTTAGGGTCACAGTCCTAAAAATCAGTTATCCAGTATATAAGGACATCCTTCCCCAGGTTAATAAGTCACAAAAGGTAACTGCTTAAGAAGATGGCTCTTCAGAGTGTTGCATCAATAGGAAGTTAAGTGGAATAAAAAAAGCAAAGTAGATAAAAAAACAAGTGAAAAAGCAACATAAATTAATATTATTAGCAGCTTCCAACATTTAAGAGCTTGAAAAAGAAATAGAATCCAAGGAGTGAACAAAAGCCGAAATCAACTCTTCAAAGGCCACCACAAACAAATACTTTTTTCTCTCACTTAATTTTTCCATATTATTGGATACAGCATTCTGTGAACAACCATCTTCATTATTAACGGGCTTAGTTGGGGAGGATGAAAGAGGATGTCAATTAATCCGTAGGTCTCTTCATAATATTGAAGGACACAGCATGGGCGTCATTTTTGTATCAAAAATAACTTTTTTTTGGTCTTATATAATATATTTAAACTTTCAGAAAAAATAAATTGGTTTTCTTCAGCTATAACCATCAAAATTAGCAAAAAGAAATACTTGATTTTTTTAAATTCTGTACGTTTTCCAGATTTCGAACCAGTTTACGTAAATAAATTTGGTTTTGGTGATATCATAATTTATAGAGGTGCACCTGTATCTTATAAAGCATGTCATGTTTTCTGCATTTTAGAATTATTTGTGCAAATACGAAGTGAAATCAAGGAAATTTCATGCAGATTTTACACGAGTGCAAAGAGGGGGTAAAAGCTGCATACTCTGTGCAAAAAGAGAACGGCCCTCAGATTCATAAAAGGTTCAAAAGGCTACAGGCATCTTCCATCCTAACTGATGATTGCGATCCCTCCAAAGGGCTAGGTATGATTTTAGAAAAATCTATTCTAAATAGCCAGTGGTTTAAAAAAATAAAAAATAAAATTCAAAACAACAAAACTGCTACGTCACCCCCACCAGCATGCATCGAGGGGTGTGTGAGAAAGTGAGTCGGCATGTGAAAGACTGCTCGTGAAACTGTGTTCTGTATTTGTGGGTATGATCACCAGAGTGTGCTAGAGACTGTGTCCTCCTACTTGTTTTAACTGATCCTCGTCTTATGGTGTGCGCTTTCAGCCTAAGCAGCTCTAGCCAGGTGCTGCATCTGTCTGCAAAGGAACCGTAATCAACGGAGGCAGCTGGAGAAAACACACACACACACACACACACACACACACAACACACACACGCGCGCAACCCACACCCGAAGATACACAACAACAAGAAAAGAGGACAAAAAAAAACATACGACACACACAAGAAAAAAAACAGAAACAAAAGTAAAGAAAAGAACAAAACTGAATGAGTTCTTTGAAAGCGGTTCAAGATAACTGTCCGAGACAAGAGGATGAAAAGTCAAAACATGACAGTGTAGGAGTTTCGGTAGCAAGGAGTTGGGGAAGGGGGGAGAGATGAAACATCGTAGGGGCTTACCTCTGGATGAGACAAGTGCGTTTTCTTGGACACCTATCACACACGCACACACATACACGCACACACACACAAAAACAGAAACCAGAGCTTGGTAGATAGTAATCACAGTTCTGTAATTATCATCTTCTTACCCACAACTCAAGTTCAGAAAAAAATCTACAGCTCAGTCTTGCTGCTGGGATCGTTTTGGGTAAATAAAAACCACAAACTTTTACAGCTCTAACAACTTTTTTTTTTTTTATTTAAAAAGAAGAAAGAAATGCTGACATCTAGTTTTACTGAAAAACCAAACACAGTGGACAAGCTACTGATCCTTTACCTGTTGAATGAACCACAACCAGCTGATTTTGGCAGAGTTTTGCAGCTGGAGTGAATAAAGAGACTGTTCCTGGAGTGTTAATGAAGTATGGTAGAGGAGGAGCCTCCCACCCCCACAAAAAAAGAGTAAATAATACCTGATATTTTGGAAGAAGTCTGAGAGTTGGTGGATGACGTGTCAGCGCACAACTCTAGTGAAAACTGCAGCTGATCTTCGGTCTCACTCCCACCTAACCAGAAGTACAGAATATCATCAACCATGTCGTCTCCTCATGAGTCATTATTAAAATTCTTGTTACAATTGATTTGACATAATAAAAAAAATGCAAGTCATGTATATTTGTTGGACTGTTATGTAAAGTCCCAATGAAATACATGGAGACGTGACTGTAGAGGCTAAAATATAGGAAGAGTTAAGGGATATAGTATATTTTTTTATAAGACAGACCTTTGGTAATAAATCTTTCAGCTGGCCTCTCTTGAGCCTGGTCCTTATCAAACGTCATGGCAACAGCCGTCACTGAAACCTACCACAAGAACAATAAAAGTTATTAAAATAAGAACTTTTGCTTGCAAATTCAAGCAAGTGAGATCAATTAATTTTGGTAACGCAGAGAAAGTCTATGACATCCCACCTGAATGAGTTCTTCTTCTGGTACTGCTACATTAAAGTTGAGATGACAAAGACAGCAGGGAATCATGGAGCGTAACTTGAAGTAGAAACTCTGAAAGAAGCCGGAGATTAGCAGAGAGTTAAGATCACTCACAACTCCAGCTGTACTGACCAGGGCTTATAGAGGTCAGCAACCTGTTGATGTGGGGATCCATGGGACCCTTTACACCAGGAGTCAACAAACTTATTAAGGCCGAGGGCTACTACATGAGTCATACTGACCTATGAACTGGAAGGATCAGCATTCAACTTAACTTCCTACATAATAACATATTTTTATTGTTTCTGTTAATTCCTATTTTTATTTATGATATTGCCATTTTGAGATTTCTATAAATTCTTAAATACTCTGTATGATTAAAATGACAATATTTTCTATTAAAAAAACAAGGACACCAGAATAAATAAATAAATTTCAATCTTAGCCCACTGGTGAGTTGTACTGTTTTCAGAAGATGCTGTGGGCACCCCATAAGGCCCCTGAGGGCCGCATGGTGCCAACGGCATCTTCTGCGAACACCACGTTGATGACCCCTGCTTTAGTACCTCAGCTGTGACTCTTAATTACAACTGAAGAATAACAAGTACTAAAGAATTAAGCAATGTGTAAAATATTAATTAAGGATGTACAAATAACATTAACACTTAGACTGACGCTAATAGTGCAAGAAATATTTTTTTTATGACATTCTTCAGTCAGTAGTTTGCAAGCAATGTGCCTTGGATCTCCCTTTAAATAAAATGCATCATAACTAAAAACAAAACTAAAATTGTTGTTTTTTGGTTTAAAATGTCCTAAAGCAGGTGCCATAAAAATAAGCTACAGTATTCCAAATCTGAAGGACTTTGGTTTCATCAAAGACTGCTGACTGATCTAAATCAATAAATAGTTTTTTACCTTTAGAAGATTCTCACAAAGGTCAGTGAAGATCTTATTTAGGCTTTGGTTAGATAGGTTGGCATTGCTCAATCTCAGCACCCTAACCGACGTAAACATCTGTAACAATATTAAAAGAAGCACGTCAATCTTCCAAAATAAAAAGATGTGTTATTTTCAGAGTTTAACAGCTTTAAACTGCAGTTTACCTGTACTGCTGTGGTCCAGTTATAAATCCCAGGCATGGTCTCAGTGTTGCAGCTGTAGAAACCTGCAAAACAGAGCAGAGACAAACACAAGTTTGAAGTGGTAACATTTAACGGCTTAAACAAACAGGTCCACATCATTGTAAACTAATCTAACAAAAACCTGTGGGGGGAGACGCATCGGTGAGGAGAGAGTGGATGTCTTCCACGGCGTCAGTGTCATCGATCTAGGAGTAAAACGGCACAGTTACCATTTCCTACAGAGTTACATCCACACACGGGTGATGATTCATATACTTCCTCACCTCCAGGACAAAGGCATCCTTTTTGCCATGTGACAGATCCAATTCAGACACTTCATCTGAGCTTTCTGAGTGGGAGCGGAAAAGTCTGGATCTGTGCCTGGGCTCTGGGATCGGAGAGCCAACCCCTTCCTCTGTCAGCTCCTGTAAGCAAAGACAGACTGGTGGTGAGTATCAAACCAGGTTAGTTCTGACTCTACAGAGACTAAAACTACTGTTAGTGATACTTCTACATGCTTGTCCTGTGCAGTTGATAAAAACACAAACACAGACACAGACTTGGTGTAAAATATCAAATACATCACAAATCCAGAGCTACAGTGAGTGGACCAGGTGGGAATTACGTATCATTGGGTTCACAAACCCCTAATCAGGAGTAGTTCTACAGATACAGCCAGGAGCTGCAAGTTGTGGTTAACTGTGAAATGTTGCTCATGCTTTGTTGAAAGCCAGCATGCTCAGTACCATGTTTGTGCCGCAGAACACTTCAGGGTCCAGGGCAAATAATTTCTTTGATGGTCAGAGAAAGACAAGAAATTTAACATGATTTAAAAAATAATTTTTAAAAAAGCACACAGAGTCAAATACTTAGTGGCTCAGCAGTGACAGAAAAGGCAGAACCGCCTAAATATTTATCTGGTTTGATGTCACATCAAATACTTTTTTTTGTTGTCTTTAATGTAAATAGGTGTGAAATTTAGTGGAAGTTTCTTTTTTCGAATGAAATATTAATTTATGTTCAATATTTGCGTTTGATTTGAGTGCAGAGAAGAGGATTGAAATTAACACTTTTCAACAACTCCTAAAATATGTAGCTAACTTACGGGAGGGGTGATTTGATAGAGCTCCTTGTTCTTGGCAATAGTGTCGTTGATCCGTTTCTGGATCGTCAGAACGTGCTGTTCGTTCAACTCGCTGGGGGTCTTCCCAGCCACCTGGATGCCTCCTGGTGCAGGCAGAGCCGTCAGGTACACTCCTGTAGCCGACTGAAAAAACACAAATTTTCTTAAAACAGACCTAGCTCAACCACAATTTCATTTCTGTGTTTAAAATAATGTCTTACAGCCAGACCCAGCAGCATGTTCTCGCCAACACTGATCTGTATGTGCAGACCAAATAGAGCATTCATGCTCCGGAGCTTGAGCTTATTCATCAGCTGAGTGTGCAGCTCGTATTCCATGAAAGGCAGCAGGTTTGAAATGGCGGTTGCGTTCACTTCTCCCTGAGCTCTCTTTTTCAGGCGGCACAGCCTGGAAGATAAGAATCAAAGACTTTTAGTTTGCCCTTACAGACATCTGTTTTTTTTTTTTTTTGCATGTTGTAAAGCAACAGTGCCAAAAATGGGGAACCTTTCCAATCTAGATCCCTAGATCAGAATGTATTATTATATAGCCCTCATTTCCCACATTTGGCTTTTTTCAGTCTGCCACTCTAGAGTTCTTATGTTCTATCTAGATGAAAGTAAAATAAATAAGGGATAAATGAGCTTTTATGACTGGGTAATAAGACATAATAAAAAGGTTTTGCAGTCTGGGCCGTTCTTGGCCTTTCTGGTACAGTTTTGTCAGTCCTTTATCTCACTGATGTTGGATAAAACATTGAATCACAACATGAACATCTTAAGAAAACCAACTAAAATGTAGGTAAATCTGATGCAGTCTTGAAAATGTTTATATCTATTGGCACGCTGCAGAAGAGGGATGTGAACCAGCTTATTAAATCAGTAGTTCCAACACCTAACTAATACGTCATGCACCTGCCTTGATATACTTTTAATTAAATGGCTATTAATCTACCTAAAGAGTTTGGGTTTTAACATACAGCTGCATGGTAGTAAATTTAAAGATTACAGACGGGTTCATTTTAGTCATTAAAAAAAGGAAACCTGCAGGTAGATTCAGTAGACGCAGCAAAATATAACTACTAAATATGATGTTCAATATAATTCATGTTACAAACTGCATCAGATTTATATGTATAAATATGGTGCTTTAAATTATCATGATTTACAGCTTCAATCAAACACAGTGAAAGCAGGTTTTAGTCCTTTTGGTCAGCATATTCATAAAGCATGGCAGCAGAGGAAAAGATGAAGAGCATAATTTGAGAAAAAACTAAGTGGATAAAAAAAAAAATAGTTATCTAATTGGAAACTCTTCTCATTAAAGCACCTGTGGCCATTTCAAAGTGTTGTCAGAGTTTCTGCTGTTTTACCTGGCCTGAATGAGGCAGCCTTTCCCTGTAACAGCTGCCTCTGTTGGCAAGTCGATCGTTGTGAATAACACATCAGGAACCTTAAAAAAAATTAAAAAATAAAGTTTTTTTTATTTATTTACGTTTTCATTCTTATTTTTCATTCTTTTTCCAGGTTAAACAAAACTCAAACCCTACTATTGCTTTTTTGCTAACTCTTTTTCTACCTTTTGCCGCCTGCAGTTGTAACAGTAGGTTAGCTGGGCAGGAAATGGCATGTTGAGCTCATCATAGGGGATGTGACAGAAGCCACAGCTTGGAGGGGAAGGATCATCGAACCTGAGGAGCAAGCAGACCTTCAATCTATCAGCCCTCAGAAAAAAAAACACAAAATTAAAACTTAAACTTCATCTAGGAGCTAAAACTCAACCTGTGGTCAGTACTGCCCATGTCGAGGCAACCTTCACGCATATACCGCGGATTCAGGATGGCGGCTGTCCCTGATGCTGACAGAATGCAAACCTCTTCACTGTGATGAGGACAGAGAGAGGTCAGTTTAAATGAACAAAAATGAGGGTTAAGAAAAACAGCATAGCTTGTTTAATTATTATATACATGCATAGTATAAAGGACATACCAGATGCTTGTATTCTCACTGTAACCTATGACAGCGTGGCAACCGAGAGCTTTGGCATGAGATTTAATTTCCTGGCGGATCTCTTCCCACCAGGCGTCACGGGTCTCCGGTTCATCTGCAAAAAAACATACAGTAGTGACTCAGTGAGCTTTAACAGAACTGGCAAAAACTTATTTAACTTTGATATCAAACTACAACTGAGATTATAGCAGAGACAGACTTTGCAGCTAATCTGAGAGCTTTAAGTTACAGAAAACATCTCTACGGTCAACAGAAATCGGATTTCTTTCTGTTGATTTATGAATTAAATGGTGAATCAAAGCAAGCGGAAACCAATAGTCATTTTGTAAGACAAAGGGAAAGTGAAAAATGGTTGGTGAGAATTTGGGGGTGATGAGGGTATTGTCAATGATCTGTCAAGGGATTAAAAGGGCTTCATGTCATGTGTGTAAATAAATGTAATCAAAAACATTTTTGTGTTTTTACTTTTAAGGAGAAAGAAAACCTAAACTTCAGACGTATTGAACCTCTGCCCGAAAACAGGGTGCTTTTCTCTGTCCAATTCTTTAATTCTTCTCTATTTTGCCGTTTCTACCATCAAGAAAGACCGATTATCCAGTTAAAAGGGAATTATAGTAGGGGTGTAGAGCTTCTGTATTACCCTGAAACTTCCATATAGAACTTTGTGGAGGAAGGATGAAATCTGGCATACTCCAGTTATCGGTATTATTGATATAAAAGTATTTACGAAGTTGCAGCCTTTCAAAAACTGATGTCGCATTTTTGCTGAAGCGTTAAAGCTAATTTATAGGAAGCGGAAGGAAATTATGATGACCAAACGTTTGCTTTGAGGGACATAGAGTAAAGCAGAGCTGCTCCTTCTTTATCTAACCACCAACTTCTGCTCAGCAGCTACAATTCTTCCTTGTCTACAAATGTAGCTGTTGATAGATATTTATGGATGGAACACAGTCCTGGCATCAAAGTACTTTTAAAAAATTGCTTCTTGGCTAAATTATGGCTCTCTAACTACCCTTAGGAAGCAATAGCCAACTGTTTATAAGCAGCTGACTACCGAATAGCTGCTTATGCAGTAAACCCACATTATTAACAATAGGGCTGGGTATTAATCGTATTGTTTATTTTTCTACAAGTTTCTAGTCACTCAAACTCCAGAAACAGTTTTAATTTTTACGTTTTCTATTTTACTTTCATTTCATTCAACTGGGAAATTGACAAATTTGAAGAATATGATGAAATGCGGTTACTACAAGATGTTTTGTCATATAAATCATACTTATTTACGTAACTGGTGTCCTGAAAACGCAGAATTCAAATGAGTGTAGTCTTAACGAGTATTATTTCTGATTGCTGTGATAAGCAATCACAGCAACACAGTTACCTTAAAAAAAAAGACTGAAGAATTATTATTATTTTTTTTTTATCATCACTTTATCATTCTCACAATATTGCAAGATAATCTTTATAAGATTTTAAGTGCATATTGCTCTGCCTAAATGAACAACATCAGCTTCTTATACTGAGATATTTCTTGCATTAAGTTCAGAAGGTCATTTGTGCGAGGCCTGCTGATTTAGTCAGATGTTCATTCTATTTTTTGCAGAAGCTTAAGTATAACGTTTTTAAATTTGCAAAGTTTACTGACACAGCTTAATGATAACTATTGATATTAAACTACTGTAGATAGAATAAATTATTTGTAATGGTTTAGTTTCAATTTTGTGAACCAATGGCACTTTAGTTTGCTCAAAGTAACTGTAAACACCTGATTGAGGGGCCTACAACAGACAGCTCAAGCAGGTTTAAAGGTTCAGGGTAAATTTTTTTTCTTGGGAGAAACGTTTAGGGCAGCCTAAAAAAAAAAAAAAAAACCTCTAACTATATCCTATGGCAGGAAAATATACTGACAAAAATGCTAATAGTTCAGAGTACAGTTCAGGTATTAAGCTCATTTCATTCTTTCTCACTAGAAGATAATAATTATATAAAGTTGTATTTCTAATAGTCTTGTCATTTCTTTCACGTTTGTTTTTCATACTTTATGCTTAATTACAGCAAAAAGAGTCGTTTTCACACACATGTCTGCCTGACACAGAACACACGACTTTAAAGAACTGAGCTACACAACACCACTACCTGGGAGGGCAACATGCAAATGAAACTTAACTACTTGGCGAGATGGAGCAGAGGAATGAGGGAGGGGTGATAAACTAAAACAGATGAAGAATAATGACTGATGGCCAGCCATCAGATCCTCATTGTGGGTTTGGTCAAACCAGCAGCAGCATGTCATACAGGCACAGGCTCACCAACGTGCACGCTCATGGCCATGTGTGCACGTTCATGGCCAAAGAAGGGCCATATTCATTCACTAGAGTCCATCAAATTACATTTTTTGCAGTTTTTTTTTCCTTGCTTTTCTTAAACTCAGCTTTTTTTCCATCAAAAGTATCAGTTCTAGTATCCATCTATCCATCCATCCATCCATCCATGAATACGGCCCGGTGACTAAGGGATGCACATGCCCAGCAGATGGCTCTATGTCAAAGTGTAAACCTCCTAAACCTCCTCTGGTCTAGACAGGTTTTAGCAAAATGCCAATTCAGGAAGCATAACAAACAGCGCCAGGCGAAACAACGGCAGGGAGCAGCTCTAATGTGCAGAACGATGAGTTGATCGGGTGTGTGCTCGCATGTAGAGTAGCCAGGCTGGATGGGGTGGGGTGACGACACAGAGCGTGCTCAGCTTAGCACACACTCACACAGAATCAGGAGAGGAGGAGGGCAGCTCAGTGATTTCCATTTTTAAGCTTTCAGGGAAAGTTTTTTATGTTATGGATTGATAGCTGAGCTAGCAAAACAACTGTGATGGAATTGCAACATTCATTGATTGCTTAAAAGGACACCACAAGCCTAACTTCACTGAGCTACCATCGCTCTGGTGGGATGAGAGCAGTAAAAGGGGGGGAAATACCTGCGGTGACACTATTCCAGTCTAGCAGTTTGTATGAGCGCGTGTTACCCAAGGCTGGGCCAGAATACACCGTTAGTACAGAAGAGAGAAAGAGAGAGAAAGAGAGAGAGAACAGAAGAGACAATCTAACAAACAAGCACAGCACAACAGCAGCACTCCACAATCACTAATGCCATGACAAACTAACGACATCGGCTACTGAAACTACCCTAGGGGAGACTTATGTAGAACAGAGATGTCACAAAGCTTCAGGACCGGCTATAATAATGAAGAGACGAAGCAATACGGTACAAAACCAAGCATGCAACACAAGTCGACTCGAGTAGAGGTCAAGTTACACAGGACAGCAGCCCTTTGGAGTTGTTCTTCATAAATCTGGGGTGTACACATGTTAAACTGGTTATTAAATAGCTACCAAAAAAATTCTGTAGAAGCAATCTTATGCATTAATAGATCAGACGAGGTGGAAAGGACTTAAATGAGTTCAAACAGAACCTCTGAGAGGGAAACAAATTGGGTTCCACCCAAAGTTTTAAGAAGCACTGGGCTAAAAAACTAAAGGCAGTAAATACCTTTCATATAAGAAATTATTGATTTGTACTTTTCTACCTATTTAACACTAAGTTTAAGTTCTTACCCTAAACTTATTTAAAACATACCCTTTAAAAAGTAATCTGTAAACAACTTTGCTTAATTTGGCTGTGAGAGGTTGAGAAGCTAAATCCTCTCCTTTATCCCCCATAATGCAGTTCTGGTTAGGAGTTTAGAGGAAAAATAAAAAATGTAATTAGAAATTTTTTATATCGATATATATCAGGGGTCAATCTAAAATATCTAGTTTATTAATTTATTGCCCAGTTCTCCTATTTACGGGAAATATTTGTTGGTGCCAGATGTGCTGATCTGAGTATTAAAGGGGGTTTCTTTTACGACCATGTCTGCAGTTTACAGGGATAAAAAAAGAGGAAACATGTAGGAAGTTGTAGAGATAACAATTTCTATTTGAGGTTAGAAGGCACAGGAAGGAAACATAACCAAATCTTTAAATGACTTCACAGTGATAAAACTGGGTAAAACTCTTTGTTCTGAAATGTGACTTTTTAACTGACAATATAGTGACTTTCTAAGCGAATATTTTCAAATAAACTGTTGCTGCTCTGCATTTGTTTCGCTGGCAGCTCCGTTTCTCTGAAGGCGTCGGAAATAGTAGATTTTGAACAGGTGAAGAGGGGAAGAATTGGCAACCCCCGTTAGAAAACTAAAACAAACAAGCAGAAAACGCTGTTTAGTGTAAAGATGCTGTATTTATGGATTACTTGTTTTTAAACTGTAAAAGAATCCTAATAAAGCTTAGTGATAATAAAGACATTCCCTAAATAAACTGGGCTTTTAACTACACGTAGATTACGTTCAATGCCTCTGTCAAAAGGTTGCAGTACGGTACTTGAAATTATTGTAAACTTTTTTTAACTACAACTGGGCTCATTTGAAATGACTTATTTTGCCTGATGGTTTATCCAAAGTGTTTATTTCAAGACCTAGCAAGGATCAGTGTGTTCGTATGCACAGTCACTGCCATTAAATAAGCTTGCAGTAATTTACTTCAGCGACAAATATACTGAATTAATGACAAATAATACACCTAATAAACACTCAAGGCGGTACATCATATTGAAGAGATGACATGAATTCACTCTATTGCAACTTGCAGCCAGCATAAGTACACAACACAGACTCTAGAGCCATGCACCACTATGTCCACCCAGCTAAAAGTTCAGCCACTAGAGCATATGGACACAAACACACCCGACACCCAACCAAAAGGAACATAAAGGTTTGGTCATACAAAGAAATATTAGAATAGAATACGGTGAAAGTTGTCCAAATACATGTTTTCATCAAAGTATTAATCCTCATAGTATTCATCCCAAGAGGAGCAACTTTCACCTGTTTCATTTCTTTCTTACTACACATTGCTTTCTGGCACAAGGACCATACACAGGAAAACTACAAAACACAGGAGGAGTATGGGCAGCATTGACTATCAGCCAGGGAGAACGGGACCAGACGCACTGAGTACATGACACACTGGGTCAATGGAGGAGTGCACTCACATCCTATTAAGAGGGCATCAGACTGGTGTGGGTTCCTGTGAACTCACCAGGGTTGTGTATGCGATCCAGTAATTTAACAGACCGAGCACTGACGACTCCGCCAACATGAACCAGGAAAGCCGGTGGAAAAGAGGTCAAAGTGAAGAAAGGGAACTCCTGTGGAAGAGGAAATGGGTCTGTTAACAGTGTAAAGGGGAAAAAAACAGTTTTGCTATCATTAAATGAATTATAAAGTTAGCTTCAATGTTTTTAAACTTAAGGTAGACAAATATGTACTAGACATCAACCCTTATGGTCTGAATTAAACACTACAGGGTTAAATTGATCAAAGGTTTGCTTTACAATTGTCCTTGAAACCAGTCTTCTTATGAGTGCCATGTGTTGGCTTTGGTAAAAGCCGACTTGTTTCATGTGTGAACATGCAGAGCAGAAGGAAAAACCACATGCAAATTTCCTCCCAGAGGATTCAACACCTGCTACAATAACTCATACAGCCGTGGATCGACATACATTTGGAAAGGATTGGGAAAATTAGTTATTAAAATTAAGAAATGTGAAATTCAGAGTTAAGACGGAAGAACACAAACTGTGTTCTTTTTGGCTGAGGATCAGCACTACTGATAGCATGCTGGATTACCTTTACCAGAGCATCTGGTACCATCCAATAAGAGATTATTAGAATTCATGCACTTTCATACAAATGACGCAGGAAAATTCCCTCTTATCAAAGATAGGAAAAGTTGTGATTTCCAACCATGCAGGATTGGTATGAAATGAATGGCTTAGGTGGGCAGTTTTCAAGGTGGGGGGGATCTACCACTACTTTATTTTGTTCCTTCAAACAGATCTTTTTCCTACTCAAAGCAAAAAGATTAATATGAGGTGAATTATAGAGATGTACCGAGAAATGTGCTGGTGACTAGAATCCTGGCCCTGACTAGGAACCCAAAAACTCGAAATTCTAGATTTCTACCAACCAGTGAACCCAATCAAATGCAGTGAAACTCCTCTGTGTGGATGTTAAGCCAAGTACAGGCCAAGGTGGCTAGTTTAAAAGGGACATCAGACTAGAGCTGCAACTACCGATTCTTTTGCAAATTGATTATTCTGTCAATTATTATTTTGATTAAGCATTGTATAGCCAAAGGTCCCTTAAAGAAGATTTTTATGAAATTACACCAGGTGAAACTAAAACATTTCCACTGGAGGAGTTCTGGATAGAGCATATTGACAGATGAAAAATATTTTTATCTTAAATGAAGAATGTTAAACATTTTTTCATAATTTTGGTATTATTGCTGCTCAAGCTGGGTCGCTCTTTCAGATACAGGTAAGTTTTCAAGTCGCTATACTCCATTTAATGATTATTTACTAAATTAGTTGACTATTATTACAATAATCAAATCATCAGATTTATTATTTCAACCCTACATCAGACAGAGAATAAGAAGTAAAGAGTTATTTAAAAGACTTTCAATGTCATGTCAAGTTCATCTATTTGGTCTCTGTCACTAAACATGGTTTCTATGGAAGAGTGGCAACCTTACGGAAATGTGAGTTAAGGTAAGGATCTAGAATTATGTGACTAAATGATCACTCATGTTTTTTTGAGTTCAACATTCACGTGTTCACTCAATAAAAATGTTATACAAACAAAATGAAAAAGTTTAGAAGTTAAAAAGTCAGGATGGCCTAACCACACCAGCTAGTTTTACCACTATGGGCTGAATTCAGTAATAATATCCTCTGCATTCAGTCACCAGAATGTTTGTCCCACTTTTCTGTGATATTTTTTTCAGTACATTGATTCATATCACTTTACAACATCTCTAAAACATAAGAGTTTGGCTTTGACTTTGTGTGGGACTTTCAATTATTTAATATTTCACAAATCTTGTGGACTTCGCATTCTATTTGGGCTCATTCTAATTTTTTAACATTTCCTTCAGGCATCCTCTGATAGATAATAGACTGCAGAGTGCAGAGGAACCAATATTAAATATTAATAAGCATTCACACCAAAAAAGAAATACTTTCTATGGTGTTCCTATATCTTCATTTATATTCTCCAGGAAGAAATGGAAACAGTGTTGGCTGATCAAAGGAGCCACAGCTTTCTTCTCGGTGCATCTCTAGTTGTTAAGGTTAGTGATGTCACTGTTTTAGCTAGCAGAAAAATAAACAGGCAGATTCAGGATAATTGGAAAAGTAAAAAGATAAGATGTGTTCAACATAAATATTATAAAAGTCACTCACACACACAGTCTGACACATCCCATGAGACTTGAAGAAGAGGCAACTCTTAGCTTCTGGCCCTCTGGGCCCCGTTTCAGAAAGTGGGCTTCTATTCTTAGTAGAGCACAATTATCCTGAGTCAACTTGTTCAGCTCTGTGATATGCAGGATTTTCAGTTTCAGAACAGGTGATATCTATTAGCTAACTCAACTCGAAGTTAAATCAGCTCAGATTTCATAGCACGGGTAAGCACTGCGAGAAGCCCAGTCAATGGACTAAAATCAATAATACTATCGGGTATTAAAAATGCATCTAATTGCGAACTTAATGAGTATTTGCTCACTGCTATCTACATTAGGATTCTTACCAGGGCATTTTGGTGCAATAGGCCATTACTCTGAAAAATGTGTCAAACTCCACCGACAATAAACCATATCCTTTTTTTATGAGTTTTTTTATGGAACTGGGGCCTTCTTGCTTGTGCATTTCAATGATCTCTTTAACATATTTATCTTCTTATTTGCACATATACATGAGAAAACTTTTTAAGGACCTTGAGTCAACGGTGTGTCAAAGTGTATCACCGACCTGCCCCGCCACCTGAAGCGACTGATGGTCAGAGTGTTTTTTTAGCCAGTAAAACCTAGTATCATTGCTGCTCCGGTGCATTGCCCCCTCCCCTACTGAGGCTGCAGGTGGTCAAGAGCGATTTCTCACTGGTTAAGTCTGATAGTTTGCAAATTAAGGGAAATATGAACGTCGCAGCACAGAGAAGAAATAAATTGCTTTGTCTAATGATAAGTTTAACAAATCCTACTACACACCATGGTTGGTTCAAAGAGTGACTTATAAATGAACTCAGGATAACTGTTATCAGGCTTTCTGAAACCAAAAACCCTGGATATGCAGGAATTTACTCCAGAACGTATTCTGAGTTCTCACTTATCCCTCTTCCTGAAACGGGGTCCCAACATGTTTGTGACCATTTGGGTCTTGGTGGGAGCAAAATGAACAAATACAGCAAACTGCGATTTTGCTGAACCCACATCTACCCTGAAAAATCTACAAACAGTAGAGGAGGGTCAGGTTAGGAGTTGGTTGAGAGTGATTGGTGGTGGCCGTAGCTTATTCAGCAGGTTCGAGGAAAACAAAGGGCAGAGAGTGAAGGTCACACTGATGGGACATACCCTGGCGTTTAACAATAACCCAGAGGAGGATGCTCCCTGAGATGCACAAGTAGCCAAGAGGACAGAAAAGGGAACGGTTTTAAACAGGGCACACCACTTTTATACTTTACCAGTGCAAATTAGGAATCTTTCACAGAGTGCAATGTGTTTTGTGACCCAGCACTCACATCTGAAGCAGATCAGATTGGCAACACAATTTTGAATGTTAAAGCACCAAAACGGTCATGCTAAGCATGTGGAAAAGGTCAGTACTATTAAATACATATGAGAGGGAGCAGGAGTGTTCGGAGTCACTGTACCCTCTGTTCCAGAGCAGTCTGCGTTTGCTGTCTGAGAAGGGTCTTCAAGGGCCCAGCCTCCTTCCCTGCGCTGCCACCGCTGCCCATTCCTAATCACAGAAATTACATTAGATTCCATTTTTGCAAACAACATCTGAACACATCATAAAGAAAACCAAAATAATTTTTTGCTTCATAGCGTATAAACTTAGTTTATGGCTAAAGTAACGCTTTTTTTTTTTTTCTTACAGAATGTTCTGGGCATGCTGGGGTATCTTTTCTTTTAATGCCACTCAAAAAGATCTCACATAGACCTGTAGCTGCTGTTGACCCATTTCTATAAGCAACTGGATGACACACAGCAGTCCTACTATACCGGAGGCTGCCAGCAGCAGGTCCTCAGTGAAGGACACGCTCTTTCTCAGCAAGGCAGAGTCTGAGTGGGTGCAGGAGGGAAGGGGCGGGGTGGTTGCTCTGAGGCCAGAGCCATGACCACAGTCCGCCGAGCCAAAACCAGGAAGGGACAATGAGTCTGCAGAGAGGACTGGGGAACTGGGGCAGAGGAAGATCCCTGGCCTGCGTCTCCCCGACTGGGGCTCCTCTATCCAGCAGAAAAAAAAAAAAAAAAAAAAGATGGAGGGGTGCACAGAGAAAAACAGATACAGTGAGAATGGACAGGCAGAGAAGAATGGAGTGGGAGGAAGTACAATAACAGTGTGGGAAAGCCAAAGTGAACAGAAGCAAGGAGACGGATGGAACATAAAAAGTCTGGATCCTGCAGGTTCTGAAGGGGAATACAGGACTGGAACCACCGACACTGAGCTGATTAAAAGGATCAAAAAAAAAAAAACGGACTGGACTTAGCTTTATAGAATCCAATTAGGTTATTTTTCATATCAATTAATAAATGTATAATAAATTAAGATTTTAGTTTTATTTTCTGTCACATTTGATATCAAGTGTTTAGCAACAAAGACCATTTACTGCAATCAGGTTAATTAAAAACAAGAGTAGTCATTTATCTGAATTGATTAATTAGGTGTTCTTAGGCTCTCAGTGTTCAGGCAGTGGTTCTTAGAAAGAACAGGAAATGATGAAACTGGATGGACTATGCAGGCCTTGAAAATATTTGGACATTATGGTGACAGTGATTATAGACTTTAAATTTTAGTAAAGAGTTTTAGTCAAAGAGTATTTAAAGCAAATACAATGAACAGGTGAGGAGAACAAGCTAATCATGTACCGGTAGTTCTAATTCAAGAACTAAAATCTCAATGAGGGAATATCTCTAACAGCAGATTGTTTACTATTTTCTAAAAAAAAAAAAAGTTGTATGGTCATCTTAGCTTAGAGTTCACATAAACATGGCGCAAGACAGAAACCTTTTAGCTGCCAAAAAATGAATATTTCAGGAAATAAAAGCATCTACATCTAATCCAGCTGCCTCTAAGGACTAAAACTAAGTATTTAAGAGAAAATGATTATTGCTGTATAGATTGATCTAAAGAACAGTGTTTGTCTTTCCACTAGGCTGAAGGTAGCCAAAAGTTGCTAATTATATAACTTTAAAAGTTTGTTGCAAACTTTGGACAGATCAGCAAATATTAAGCTATATTCGGCTGCACAGCAGCGTTTGATGAAAACCAAAGCCAGCAGCTCAGACTGAACAACTCAACCCAACTACTAGGCATGGTGGTGGGGAGAAGAGATAAGTTAGGCCTGATTTGAAGCCAAAGGATCAAAGAGCTGATCAGTACAATCCATTAAAACTGTAGAAAAAAAGGTCTACTTCCAGCTTCTCCTAATCTAAGGTGTAAACATAACATTTTTATTCTTTTAGGGGGTTTTTGTCACCCACACTCTGCCTGAAGCATCCAAAAAAAGAGTCAAAATGGGGCAGAGAAAGAAATAAACATCAAAAAACGTCCAAAGAAAGACTTTTCAAAGCTCAACAGAGCGTGTATTTTTACTCATTTCATAATATACATAATAAAAAAGTGACTTAACACTTTTGGAAAAAGGCATAAAAAGGAAATATTTTTTTGTCCAAATACATCAGAGCCAAAAAGGAAAATGAGCAACAAAGAGGATCAGGTGAAAGAGGAAAAGGGAGAAGGAAGTAAACCAAATGATGGAAAGATGGAGGAAAAAGGAGGAATAAAGGTTAATGACTGCTGGTCCACTCCTGAAGGGTCTGGAGGCAGCTGTGCTGAGAGGGGTCTTCAGACTAAATGCTGTTCAGCATTCAGTTCATTCATTAACTCAAAGTGCAGCAGCTTCTAAGCTGAGATAAAATTAAACTGCATGATTACCTACAGCTAAATATCAGCATCTTACCGGACCACCAAACTAAAAAAAAATACTGTTTTAGTTTTAATTTAAAAAAGAAAATGCAACCATTATTACTATGGCTACTAATGTATATCTTACAGCTTTGTTAATATCAGTTTTTTTAACAGAAAAAAGTAACAAGTGAACAACATCAGGTGAAGGTGTCGACAGACTCTGAGAATTGGGTATAACCATTTGAATCTTTTAAAATTACAGATTTTAAAACACAAGATATTTTAAAAGTCTCAAATCTACCAATAACTACATTATCACTAGTTCTAAGTAAACTAAAGTAAAGCTGCTAAGTGCTCTCTTAATTTAAGAGTTTTAAGTTGGGACGTCTTTGGTAAAATAAACAGCCCAGTACAACAACAAAATTTATTATTTTTATCAATCTATAGATAGTGATGGGTGATCCTCTAATGATACCCAAGCCAAGGCTGTCTGCAGTTTTAGTAAGTGAGGGTGGTTTTCTTAAAGGGAAGGACTAAAGTATCTGCAGTCATTTAGCAGACTGAATGAAAACACCTAGAGCCCTGTTGGTCAGTTCTCGAAATCTCAGGCAGCAATATTACCTGGACAAGTTTTACCCCCCAGTTAAAGGAAAATAAATAGATCAGTAAACAGCAGTGCCTAAAATCTGAATAAAAAAAAATAAACAGTTGATAAAAAACGATAATGATAATTAATAAATGGTATCAAGAACCGATGCCTTTTGAAATGATAACCTTTCAATTCTCCTGGAATCCTTCAAATATTGTATTTTCGATTCCTAGTCCCGATGCCCAGTCTGCTGACCGGGAAATAGAACATCCCCTGTTAACATTAAAGAAGAATCCACCGTGGTATGTGTGCAATCAACTGTTTAATGTGGCCTTCAAACATGTGTAAGGTAAGCTCCCGCATGGAGAGCAGAGCCTTTTCCATACTTCTTATTTTACGTCTTAACAGAACCCAGCCTTTATTTCATACGTGTTCTCGATAGAAAGAAACGCACTTAAACAGATCTGTCGAATTTATGAATAAATGAAAGTGTAACTTCATCAATTGCTTATTTTAGTTCATTTAGGATCTTTTTCATATAATAAAACCCGCTAACTGAACGATGGAGTATGAAATCTGATCATTCCTGTCCACAAAAGAAAAACATCCCTACTCTCATGTCTAGTTGAGTGGAGCTGATGTGCAGTAAACAACACTGAGAATCTAAGCTCAGCCAGGATGCCTTCCTCTTGTGCTGCTTTTTCCTCCAGGCTAGCACCCCACTGCAGTCAGAATCAGGTTGATAAAATAATAAAATAGTCTTGCATGAAATAAGTAGCTGAAGCATCTGACTGGATCTGTGTTAATGTGTTTTAATGAGAGTATTAATAAAGCTCCATGTGAAAAGTAACTCTGTGAAAAGAAAATTCATTAGATCATATTAGAGTTTATAGTTTATATTTATATACTGGTTGAAAATAACTGATAATTTGAAGTAAAATTTACAGAAAATGACATGGCTGTTCAAGGAATTATATTTAATTAAGTAATGCAGACTATTTCATCCAGACAGAGCTCTGGTTAGCCAGCCAATTTAAAATCCTACCCTTAAGTTACAGAATTGTAATCGAGAATCAATGGGAACTGGAATCGAAACTAGGAATCAGAAATCATTCAAATTTAAATAACACAAATTCTCGTACCCTACCTTAATGATAAATGACTCTCTCAAAAGGTAGGATAACACTGAGGGACACATATCAGGAGCAGGTTTTGAAGGTAGTTTAATAATATCATTTTTGGAGTCAGTCTGAACCTGCTTCATGCACTGCAGCATAAAAGCAAAGTTAACCTCCCAATATGGTTGTTCACTTGTACTTAACCCATTACTGTTTGAGCAAGCCAAAGGTGTTTCCCCAAGTCATTTAGTGAATGCACTTGATCAGAAAAACATCTAATAACTGATAATGTTGCTAAATGTCATGATGACAACATAACTTGAGCATCAGCTTAACCTCCTAGCCTTTAAACTGCTTCAAGAAGCCTCACCAAATATATGCGCAGACAGCCTGAATGCACAAAACCTAAATAATTAGCTAAAATCGCCTGCAGGTCTTTACAATACTGATATTCATATAATAATAATTCTATAATGATGCAATAAATGTTATAGCCTTAGACGGTACTGTTTTAATCACAATGAAAATCAACACTGATCAAATTTGATTGAATTTTACCACCAGAGACGAATGGTCATTATGCTAGTCTCCTTATATCCTGATTAGCAAACAATGTGTGCGAATACCAGGTCTGATATTATCCATGCAACACAAATTTGCCGCACTTCTGAAACTCTGACCCTAGTTTACTTTGAAGCTAGAATCAGGCCCGTGCTTAATGGTCAATAAGAAAATTACCTTAAAGAAACAACCACCCTCTCTTGAGACACAGTGCTTCTAACACCACAAAATAAGTGGGGGGGGGCTAAAAAAAAAAAGAGAGACCTGGTGCATCTTTTTTAGAGCAGAACAAAAAGATTCACCAGGCCACTGAGGACACGAGGGAAGCAGGATATGGCTGAACAAATATTCACAACAAAATTCACAACAAACTAAACCAAAAGGGTAAAAAAAAATAAACATGGCATTCATTATGAGTAAAGAAAATAAATACAAAAAACCCATCACCATAGCAGCACCAGAAGTTGATGTCAGGAGTACAGAGTGATGATAATGAAGGAGGGGTATGGGCAGAGTGTTCTTACCCGTCTTGGGCGTCAAACTGAGGTCTGTGTCTGATGATGAGGACTGACGGCTGCATGGCTTGCAGGGAGAGAAGGGGGGAGGAGAGGAGGAGGAGGTGGGGAGGGCTCGAAAAGGGGTAGGCGGGCCGGAGGACGAGGGCAGATCCTCACCAAATACCGGCCTGCCAGGAAAACATGACACACACACACACGTACACTCGTCAGTCAGCGCCTCACTCTTTGGAGTGTTCTCCTGTGTGTGGTCATATGTACAATGTTGGAAGGGGGGCTTTTTTAATGTGACGTGTTTGGATTTGGGTGAGGTGTGCTATGGATGGCTGTGGAAATAAATAAAAAAGTAAAGCAAGCATAGACAGCAGGGGGGGCACAAAGATTGGCACACAGACACACAACAATGAAAGCAAGGTGGCAAAACAAGAAAAAGGTCAAAAATCAACAGGATGAGAAGCTAAAGCATGTGTCCCATTGAGAGGAGCAAAGATCAGAGGAATGAACAGACACAGCAAGCCTTTCCTCTGGTATCATTAAATATCAGTAAAGGTGCTGCTGTTCATGATGAAAAATAAAAAATAAAAAATAAAAATAAAAAAAACACAAACATAACAATATAATATTCTAGCAGAGGAAGGCCCTACATTTTCTGCCTCTTCTGGCACTGATCTACCCTGACACAACCCCCCACCCTAACCCCTTTTAACATTTGATGAACACTTTTTTTGTTTTTTTATTTTGTGTCGTTCCTGTGAACTGTTTTCCTTCTGCCTCTGCGTACCAGTGAAGATGAGTGTGGGAACAGAGACAGAGAAATTCTGGGACAGTCTCTGGGAGCTGCAGGCTGAATGCACAGGGCTGTTGTGGGTGGAGCGACATCCATGGGCAAGGGGAGACCTGGGCCGATCAGCACACAGACACAGAGAAAGAGAAAAAGAGAAAGGACGCAAGACCGATTTGGACATAGGTGAGAAATGTCCCAATCCAAATGAAGGAGGAGAGTGTCATACTTTTGGGGGAAGAAAGCGCACATGTGAACAAAACACAACATTGCAGTTGAGTTAAAAAAGGAAGACGGGAAGGAAACAAAAAGCAAGAAACCAGCTCACCCCACTGACACACTTTGTGTCCTGTTAAGACAGAAAGCAACAGGTGACTCATGCAAAGCATTTATCTTTACCTCCAAGTCATACAGAGCAGGGATGCACAAACAGAAAAGGGCCAAAAACAAACCCTTCTAAAAAGGCTTTGTTTTATTCATTTATAACTAATATTAAGTCAGGTAAAGGGCAAACGTCATCTTTTCTCACAACTTCTTATTCTTATTTTTAACTGTTTTTGTTTGTTTGTCGGTTTTCCAGTACTAGCTGGGGCCAAGCCTCAAAAACAAACAGGCTAAATTTGTGTAGTTGGTTAAATTGTGCATGGTTGCTTGGTGGCAAAACAAAAAAAAAAAAAAAGGATTGAGTAAGCACTCCCTTAGCTGGGCAGAAACATTTGGTGATAATACTCCTGAGGACCAATGGTTGAATATTCCTCCACATTTTTCCAAAACAGAATATGTTGTAAAGTCTTCCTAACCACTAGGAACATTTGATTTAGGAACAAAAAACAAAACAACATCGGAGGAAGCAACACAGTTCAAACCACAGAGAGCACAAAAAGCTCGATCATTGGAAATGCAGCTAGACCAGGATCTGCAACTGGTGGTTCTGAAGCAACTAAAGGTTATTTCAAACTTTAGCTCTGAATAACTTTGAAATAACACACAACAAACTCATTTTTTAATAATAGATTATTATAAATAATATTTTTTAATTATTTGCACTATTTGCACTGAAAAGTAATAATTTTCTAATCTATGTTTCTTGTCATTAGGTTTGAAACAAATAAATTACACCTTTTTTAAAAGTCTTTAAAACAGTTTTTTTTATTGTTATTTTAAAACAACAACAAACCTCCTAAAACATATGTTAATGAAAAATGATAAGTTGTAATTTTCTCTACACAACAGCTTTTATTTTGTTGGACTTTTATTTTGTCGGAGTATTTTGGGGACAAAAATGGCTCTTTGCAAATGAATAAAAATGTTGCAGACCGAAGTGAGTCTGCTTATTTGTGCGTCAGTACAAAAAATTAAGTTTTGTCAATCCCTTGATCAAAATCATATGAATAAATTCTTAACCAAATGTTCCTCATATAGTTGCTGCAGGAGACTTTTCCTCGGGACCAACAGCGTTTCAACAAGCCTTAATACAATTGAAAAGAACAAAATTGATGATATGTGCCCTTTAATTTGAATACGTTTAAGGTCAGTTTCTTTTATTGTCAAGTTAATAAAAAACACCCAGCCATCAAAGTTTTTAAGTTTCCAGCAACGTAATAAACAACCTGTGGCTTAGACAATCCTGGAATAACCTTTTGAAGAGTTTGTTTTTACCTCTGAATGTATAAAAATGATATATTTTTTAGCATTACTTGTTCACTCTTTCACAAATCAAGGCCGATGAATCCTGTTAAAACCTTTTTAAGAAGAGATGCACCAATCTGGATTGAATAATAAAATTTCTAATTTTTATTTTTATTCAAGATCCGTCAGGTTAATTTAAAAGAAAAGTACAAGGTTAGCCTTATTATCCATGACTTTCAGCAGATTTTCATTATGCTTTCTCCCAAAAAAAAAAGCCACTTTCTGGACAGAAAATTATGAAACTCTATGATTTCTACTTATTTTTGTTAAGTTTTCAGCTCACTGATTGGAGCTGATCAAAGAAAAAAGGCAGATTGGGATCTCAGTCTACCTGATTGGGGCAACTCAGAAAAAAAAGAAACTTCGCCAAACATGGCAACACCTTTGTTCCCAAATTAAGAAACGATAAAACAGTTTGACAGGATGAACTTTTGTTGTAAAGATTTTTAAGGATGCCTTAACAATGCTTCATGGTTAAAGCTTTGCTAATGTCTCCATTTTATGAAACAGATGTCATAGTAATTAATTATTTGCAATACCTGCAAGTAGAGGATTTTAAACTAATAGCAGCTTTTTTTTTATTTTAGATGAAAATGATGTTGTTATACTAAACAATATTCTACAAAAATCTTCCCTTTCCTGTTAAGTCTGGTTCACTGACAGAGGTTAAAGAGAAAACAGACTTTGAAGTTTATTGTTTACTTTTAATTTTAACACCATTTATACAAAAAAAAACACAATGATTGAGAAATTTATGTGATTGACAAAGCAGAAATGTTTAATCTGTAACTAAGAACAGACGTCTTATATTTTTCTCACCAAAAACTCTTCCCAGGTTAAAATCTGCACATTAAAACCATAGCATTAATACAAAGCAGAAGAACACATGCATTTAAATAAAGCTGAACCAGTGCTAGCTACCAGAAACCACAAATCAGCCAATTAGAATTGGCAGAGACGGACTGAGAGAGAAGGGTGCTAAAAGCAGAATCGAACATAAGCCCTAAAAACTCATCACACTATTGAGCACTGAAGCATGCAGAAGCAGAGCAGGGGGGCGAGCAGAGGCGTTTTAAACAACAGGGGGAGGGAAGAGGGACTGTGGATGGCTTTATGTGTATTGTACATGTGTGTGTCTCAGGTTATGTTCTGTTGGATTATTTTCATGATGCACAACAAAAAAAAAAAAAGAGAATAAACACAATGCATACATAAAATACAAAGAGGAATCTTTAACACTGAGACACACACAGGGCTGTAAAGAGGACAGTAAAACTGAACAGCATACAGTAGATTCTGTCCACACCGTCCCTCTCTCATGCACACACAGCTTTCCATCATTCTCACACACATGATCTGAGGTAGGATCCATGCCACTGTTCTCGGCTTATACTCACTCCTTTCCGTCTTTAGATGGGGAATTGCAGGCATTAGATGGGGGCGCTGTGTTAGGGTGCGTGTGTGTGTTCGAGAAGCTTCCAGAGCTGATTTTATCCAGAGTGCAGGCGGTACCTATGGCCCGGACCACAAGGCCGGACTCTCCTTCCAAGTCAAAGCACTGCAGGTAGCCCACTACTGCATTCCCACCCATCTCCAGAACTTTAAGCCCTATTTTTCTCTGCAGCTCTCCTGAATAAAGAGAAATGCACAAAGATGTGAACAAATTCCTCCTGTCCCAGACCAAATATCATTAGAATCGGGCTTTCATACCAGACATAAGAGAGATGAGTCTCTGACGGGCTTCGTTGGATGCCCGAGGTGTTCTGATGCGGTCTATCCACTGGTACTCTGGGTCCTCATTCACCACCAGTTCCTCTACAAACCCGTGGACCATTGCCGCTCGGTAGCCCCGTGGAATAGATGTGGCTGCAGGTGAAATTATGACAAACAGCAATCCAAGTGAAAATGAAGTTCTGTTTCAAAAAGCAATTATTTCATCTTGATCTTACTTTGAAAAAAGAAACAACATATTTGTGAAATAAAAGACATACTGCAGAAAAACTTGACCCCACAAGAGGACTGCCTGAAACGGTTCAAGTCATTGAAGAGCTCCACTTTTACAAGTACGTTGATCTCTCCTCTGATGCCTGGTGAAAAATAACAAGGACACTGTAATGAAAAGTAGCTTGCGTCACAACTGCGTCCATTCTAATCAAAGAAGTATTTCTACCGTGAATGGTGTCGTAGATGGGAAACCATCCTGAGATGACAGAGGCAGCCTCAGTGCACAGCAACGGATCGATGTCAATGTAAACCTTCCCTATGGCATCGTTAGCACTATATGTATCATGGTCCAACACTGTGATCTGCAAGGGTTCGTCCTGCAAGTCCTCATCATCAACCTACAGAGCAGTAGTGGGAAAAATAATAGAAGATAAACAGGCCCTGTTCAGATTAACAGAAACTATGTAAAGGTAATTAGATGCATTTATTATACAGCTAAGTCCCCTTTAATAACTAATCCATATTATACCTCAAACTTGAACCATTCTGAGTTCCACTGTGGATTAAGGGACTTGGGATAAACATCTGTTTTGAAGGTTGTGTTTCCAAACTTGACCTGTGAAATCAAAGATATACTTGATTAATCCAATATATGCATTTTTTCATTTTATTTTTTTGCCCTGAGAGGTTAGAATGCAGTAAAAATACACACAGTAGAGAGTACAAACATCTAACACTACTGGGTTAAATCACAAAGCACCAATTCTCAACAGCGTTATGTTTAGACACTTTTAAGACAGATTACTCGTAAAATAACATTAATCCAATTATACAGTCAGAATCAGATCTAATTATAGACACTAAAGTTCAATACTTTGGACAAATTCAGTTCAGATGGACATTTCTAAAAGATAACCCCTCTAAGTCTTATCATTTGCTTTGCATCTTTTCTTTATCCTAAGGAAGCATGTGGTGAGAGCTTCATTTATTTAACAAGTTTTTGCAAGATTTAACTCAAAAATTCAACAAACTACATCACCCTATTTGGGATAATCATCACTAAAATATTCCCAATTTATTATGTTATGATTGAGAAATTATATTCCATTTAAAATAAAGAGTTGTCATTATAGCACTTATTTGTTTAAGCTTTGTTACTGAAAGTATAAAGAAAGAAAGTGTGCTTTTAAGAGATAAAAATAATTCAACTGCTACTGCTGTTATTTTTTTACACCTTTTTGTTACAAAAATAAATAAATACAGCCACAATGTATTATTCATGTGAGGAGAAAACACTAATATACAAATAGGTCCAGGGAACTATTTCTGGAGCAGCCCAGCTCTGATATGCTAATAAGCCAGTCAAATATGAATAATAAAATTATTTATAACTGCTTTCTAACCGGAAACAATTTGTATGCCGTTATCCTGATGGTGATTCAATAAAAACACCTGATTTATCTAATTTTAGCTGTCTCGTTTCAACAAAGCTGTCCATTTATAACAGGCTACAAAAAGTTAAAAGGAAAAATGTTGGAATAAAGTGATTAGGGAAACTGTAAATCAAATCCATCCATCCCATCTTCTTCCGTTTATCTGTGGTTGGGTCGCAGAGGTAGCGGCTTTAGTAGGGAGGCCAAGACGTCCCTCTGTCCAGCCACTTGGGCCAGCTCTTCTGGGGGAACCAAAAGGCACGCTCAGGCCAGCCGAGAAAAATAGTCCATCCAGCGTGTCCTGGGCCTCCTCCCAGTGGGACGTGCCTGGAACACCTCACCAGGGAGAAGTCCATGAGGCATCCTAATCATATGCCAGTGCCACCTCAACTGGCTCCTCTCGATGCGGAGGAGCAGCAGCTCTACTCTGAGTCCTCCCTGTATGACTGAGCCCCTCACCCTATCTCTAAGGGAGAGCCCAGACACACTACGGAGAAAACTCATTTCAGCAGCTTGTATCCGGGATCTCCTTCTTTTGGTCGTGACCTAAAGCTCATGACCATAGATGAGGGTAGGAATGTAGATTGACCGAGAAATTGAGAGCTTAGTCCTTTTTGGCTCAGCT